CTGTTCATAGAGCATAGTCATCTTCTGAGAGGTTTTAGTCTGTGGCCAGAGATAGGAAAGGCTATGCTGTATGAGTAAGTGTGAATGGATGTGAACTGAAAAATGAAAAATAAATACTGTCCAAGTCTAGTCACTGCATGGAAGGAGCTCTCCTAAACAGGGTGGTGCTGTAACATTGGTAACAGTTACTTACCTTGACCCACCACTGTGGCACTAAGTTTGGTCCAGCATGGGCATGGCTCTTGTGTGGAGGGGACATCTATGCCAACAAAGACAGCCTTCAAATAGGGGCTGAAATATCCGGGGCTGATCACAAATCTGAATCAGAACTGTAAAGGTATGTGTACACTGAGAATAGTTTATATTTTTATTTTTCAGTAAAGGAAGAACAAAAACGAGTCCGAACCAGTCCACACTTTGGATTTCAAAAACCCCTAGGAAGGACAGTAGCATGGAGATATAATGATTTACTGACTGAAAGCAAAGCAAAAATAACATTTTGCAGTCGGGCTGTATTATAATGTCGTCTGAGAACATTAGCTTGGAATGGCTTGAAAATGCAAAGGATCTACAAGAATGAACTGTAAGCTCCCCCTTGAGGCAAATGTTCAGATCATTTTTATATAATGTTTGATTATTAATTCAGTAACAAAATATGCCATGCTAAATAAAGGGTATGTGTTTATTTTGCTAAGAGATGTAAGTTAGCTAGTTGTGAGTAATGAATTGAAAATGCATTTGAAATTTTTATGAGGACATATCTACAATGTATATCAATTTTAAGATAGATTGTTTGTAGTTAAACAAAACCTTCTTGTTTTCTTTAATCTCCTATGCATTGTAACCTAGTTGATGTACTGTACATGAAACTGACAATTTTGCAGTGTAACAATTATTTATCTTTGCATAAATGTTTGATACAAAATATTTGTTTAGTATTTATTTGCACACTTACGACAGTTTTTGATCCTCAGGCACAAATTACTTTTGTATACATAAATTATGCTTGCTGGCAGATACTTCTGCCATATTGCAACATTCATCAGCTATGACAAAATTCAAGGATTCAAAAGTGGTTTAATCTTATAGTGAATCCACTTTATCAGGGAGTGACCACCATATCTTCTTGATGTATTGGTCCAAGGTCAACATCAATCACTTGGCAAATGATAAAACAATAATGAAGTACCTTTGAATACAGTTCTTTTTACACTGGTTAAGCAAAATATTTTTAACTTTTTCTGAGAGAAAATACAAATTTCAGTAACCCAGTGGGCAAGAGTTTAAGAATAGAATTAGTTGTTTCAGTAAATCTATGTAGAGAAGACTTTAAAGATTATTTAAATATGGTTAATAGTTTTTTAGGAATAATGGATCAAAAGGAAGACAAATGGCTTTTCTTGGAAGCAGCACTAAGAGACTGATCCCAGCTTTAATGAGGCTTAGCTAGAAGAGTGTTAATTATGTTAATTGGTAGATCTAGAGGTAACACTGATGCATTTAAAGTCCTTTATAAAAAAATATTACTAATATCATTAATGTTCATTCTCTTTGATGCCTTAAGAGCTTTCTGTGCTATTAGGATGACATCTCAGGGTGCTAGCAAAAGCACTCTAGCTGATTTGTTGGTGACAGTCTGGTGCTGTTTAAGAAAGGCTAACAGGTTTTACTGCAGTTTGCAGCAAGAGTTCAAAAGCACAAGTTCAAGTTTGTCAGGCTTTCCATTAATAGAAATGCTGGGTGGGAGCTGGGGAAGCTGGATAGAAGTGAGAGCATATTACAGTTTGTGAAGCCTGCGCTGTGATTGCTGATATTGACTATAGCTTCTGAAATTCATGGACAAATGTGTATCAATTTTTCTGAGTAAAGAAAAAAAAATAATTTAAGTTCCAAAGCACTAATACTAGTTGTGCAATGCTATCGTTGCAACTCTTTTGGAGGCATCTTAAATTTGAAGTTATGCCATGTTTTTATTTCCTCTTTGAAGAAGCTGCCTCCTGTAGTTCAGGTCAAGCATTGCCATTCTTTCTTGCACTATTCTGTAGATTTTGTTTATTCACAACTTCCTTTATAGTGATTAAAAATAAAACAAAAAATACTATGGTCCTGCATGATCATCAAGACCAGGGTTGTTTTTCTTTCCATGACCTAAATGATGCTTAACTCACCTGAGGGCAAGAGCTTCATCTTCCTTGGGAATGTTTGGGGTAATCACAACTGGATCTTTATGGATTAACTCCTTCAAGAAAACAGGGGACAAGAGAGTGATTTTTAACCTAAATCTACAGAGCTGCCATCTCTTCATACTTTGTACTTCCAAATGACACTTGGCGGTCAATACTGTGATTGGTGCAGCAGAAGTGACAGGAGTCATTTCCATGCTGCAGTCAGGAGAATGCAAACACCTTCAGATGTCTTTCCAAAGGGGCAAAGGTGATTGCTGGGCATTTATCAGTGTTGGCCAATCTTAAATTCTGTGAAGGAGGAATGGAAAATGGCATGCTATGGTTTAGTTATAATGAACTTAGATTTCACATATCAATAAGAAATACTGATTATTGGACAAAATATTTCTATATCATTTCACCAGTCTAAGAAGAAGGAATCTGTTTCCTTGCTTGTATTTTGTTTGCCTAGTATTGAGTTTCTAGATACCAGGTAAAATCAAAACAGTCTTAGAGTCCTCTGTAAAAGAGAGTGCAGACAATAAACTGTGCAGTCTTACATCAGTTAGTTCCACTTTTAAGGTGGTGTTTATTTTGCATGCACAACCAATAAATCCCATATGTACACAAATTATTTCATATTTATTTCCCTAGTTTTGCATTCCAAAGGGAAATAGGTGTAATAGTAAGAGAGGAAAGGAGAAAAAAAAAAAAAAGAAAGTGTTTCACATTTCACATGTAGAACTTTATGCAAAATTCCTTTGGATTTTTGGTGGGCTTAGATAATCCAGGAAAGCAGATTTTTATGTGACAGTACATTAGTGAAAACAGATTTGCTATTTAAAAAAACCCACAAATAACAACAAACACAAAAAAAGCTAAAAACTTTGTCCTTCATATTCATGAAGGACATTAAATCCTACAAACATTAAATTCATGCTACATTAAGTTCTACAAACTGGTGGAAGGAACAATTTCAGGTGATAGATTTCATCAACAACAGCTACTTCAAAGCAGCTTGTCAACTGCAGGCAGCTATGGGTCAGCTCATGCTGACCACATTCTTGCTACTACCCTTAATCTCACAAATTGACGCAGGAGGTGTGAGGCAAGGAATTGACGAAGAAGAGTAAAGATATAAGTAGGCCTCAAATGGACATCATGACTTCAATTTGGCATTCTAAAAAACATTGTACTTCTTGCCTCCATTCCCTGTTTTCCTCAAGAAATGTAATTTTTCTTTTTTTTCCATAGTGATTCTGGCCTTTTGCAAGTAAATAGCATGGCAGATAGAAAGCTCTTGTTGCTTCCTTCAGTCCTTTAATCTTTTCAGGTGCAAGTGTAAATCAGCATCAAGTTCCCATACCCTATTTTAAAATATCTCAGACCTTTAACTCAAATAAAAAATTATCCATGCTGCCCACATATATTAATGTATTAATGGCTGATTTCAACACAGGCTAATATGGGACAGGCATGCTGAAGTAATGGATGCTGAATGAAGGCTATAATGTGCTTGGCAAAGGTTATCCTGATATAAGTTGAAATAAAGTATTTATTTTTAATTATACTATCTAGTGTATGTTACATATACGCTTCTGGATAGAAGTTTACAATGGGAAATTTTTGAGTCCAGTGTGATAGTTTATTAATTTATATCTCGAAATCTATGCTTTGCATTTTGGGAAGCAAAAAATACACATAAATGAAAGGATATTACTGTATTTCTGGGAACCAGATCTTCTAGTAACTGAATCTGCTTTGATTTGGCTTTTGTATTTCATTAGCAGAATGAAATGCCATTTACAACAGTGATGTATTGTAAATATTACTGAATTCATGTCACATTTTAATTAAGTATTTTAATGTAATTGCTTCATCCACATCAATTTATACTTGATAGCAGAATGCACTTTATTTTCATTGGCTTTTTTCCAGTGAAAGAGATGAATAGGAGAAAAAAGACTACTACTGAAGATAAGGTTAGCAGCTCTGAAATGTTAATCAAATAGTTTAGAAACGAATTCAGAATAAAATGAAATATCTTTAGTTAACTCGCAACAATGGCACTGTGTAGTTTGTATGAAAGAGTCTAAGATACTTTTTGTCTGCTCTCTGGCTTAATTACATCTGTCTGACTTATGGACACAGATATATTGATGGAACTGCACATTTTGGTCTGGACCTAATTCCTTGACATTTATGATGACCAAAAGACATTTTTTCTCAGTGACCATCAACCTGTGTTTGTAAGCTTGCCTTGTATTCTGAGCACTTCATATCTGCATTTAACATTGTGAATAACAAGTATGGAAGCTCCTTACAAAAATCATACATCTACGAGTACATGTGTAGATACATATGTGCAGTAAATTAAAATGCATTTTGTGTTTTCATGTATACTGTAGAATGAAAAAGACATTAAATTACTATACAATCTATAAGCAGAAATAAAGGACATATATCATATTACACTAACATTAAAACACCATTGAATTTAAGGTATTTCAATAAGAATTATTATAATAGAACTGCTTTTCTTTTGTTTGTTTTTACATATTTTATACCACTTGGACTTCTGTTAATGGGCATCAGGATAGAATCTATACAAAACACAAAATCATTATAGAGAAAGCATGAAATATCAAATGAACCCTAATTACATTTTATTCACCATGAATGACCGATCCTCATTATTGTCAGTTGTTAAACCATATATATGAGGGGAAGTGTAGTATTGCATGTTTCTACAAAGGTACATGCAAGTACATATCTATAATTATTTGAATAATTACCAGAAGGTTTGCATGAAAGAAAAACTGAAAAGCAAACAAATTACACCAGAGATAATTTTTATGATCCATTCAGTTTGCTTGTTATAAAGCAGCATGATACATGATCAACCATTATTCACAATCTACAAACTTCATTTTAGAGCTTTTTGTAAAGGCAAGATAGGAGAACTCTCATGAGCCCAGTTTCAGATAACATATACCTTCATTTTGATATGTGGCAATTACTGAGAAGAATTGACTGTGCATTGAAATGAAAATGCACATTGGGAAATGTACTGTAAAATCATAAAAATAATTCACATTTATCCTGAAATTCACAATTTTTCTGACAATTTATCCCCAAATTAACAATTTAGACCATTTTTCATAAAGCATCTGTGGCTTTAAAAATCCTTCCTCCCTCCCTCTCCTTCTTCTTTCCTTCTTTCTGCCCTTCTTCTTTCCTTCCTCCTTGCCACACTTTAGAAAACCCTAACTACACATTTAATACAGTGATGTTCATATAGACTGTTTTCCCATACCATGGACTGATGACTGATTTACCTCTTACATAAAGCGAACAGTAAACTGCTAAAACTATTAACAAAAGCATAGAATCTATCTCATTTGAAATATTCCTCTCAATTGATAAGGAAAGGAATTTTTATTTGTCAATGTTTTCCTTTCCTAAATTTGAAACCAGACTGCAATTTGAATCATTACTTTTTTTTTAGATTCCCTAATTATGAGTATTGAATGCCAGTCTGTACTGTATTGCTCTGCAATGGCTTAATTGCAGTCTTTAACTTCTATTTCTTTGTTAAGGAAAATCAGGGTAGTAGATGATTTTTTGGATCCAGTCCACAAACATAGCGACCCGAACGTACACTCCTGGTCGTTGGGCAACTGCACACTTATAGCCAAATGATGTCACACCTACCAAAACCCATTGATTACCATCTTCAGACATCAGAGGGCCTCCTGAATCTCCCTGCAATATGAAATTCAAAAGTTAAAAGTGTACAATTGTTAATTGTTTATGGTATTTTTTGTAATTGATCCTTAATCATAAAAATTGCATCTTATCTTTTGGACATCAGAAAGATAATCAATGTGGAATCTTCTATATAGAAAAAAATCTTGAAATAATTCAACTTACTTTCTTTTTCTTTCAAGACTGCAATTTTAAGCTCCCATCAGTCTTCTAGATACAGGACTAAGTTTCAAAGGATTATTATATGAGGAATGCTCTGAAAGTATTGCCTGCTATTTTATTATGTTGGCCCAGGTTGACATCAGAAACAGATGTGGGTGATATGTCAATAAAGGCAGAACATTTCCACCAGTATTCTGTTACATTCTGTTGCATGTGACAGATGTCAGCAGAGGATTCTGACGGAATGGTGTCTTATGTGGAAGTGTGGATGAAGCAAAGGAATGTCATGGAGATACTCCATGCGGAAAAAATGCCACCCACTGACATGCATTGATGGTTGCTGAGCTGGGTTTGGAGACCAAAAAGGAGTCTTAGTACAGTGAAAGTTGGACTGTATGAGCAACATTTTCCTATCAATGACACTATCATAGCTGCTGTGAAAAAGTGGGCCACCTCTGCTGATACAAATTTTAATGAGCATGGAGTGCAGACTCTTGTTCATCACTGGCAAAAATGCAGAGCAGATGGTGGTGACTGTGTTGAAAACAGTGTTTTGTAGCTGAAAATTTGCTCTATCAAATAGTTTAATTGTGTCTATTGTATTTTCTATGAAAATATATAGGAAGCATTACTTTCAGAATGTCCTAAGTACATTTAACCCATCATTTTCACAACTCCTGGATAAATGTGTAGCATTATTTTTTAGCTGAATCTATTTAGCTAAGAAGCAGTTCTATCTTCTGTCCCTCCAGAATTTTGACAATTTCAAATTTAGAGGAAATGATGACAAGATTTCCAGAAGAGGAGGTGAGTTTTTCTGCCACCTCCTTCTCAGTAATTTAGGAGTTACAGAATTGTAGTAATCTGCAGGCATGTCCAACAAGCAGTCTGTGGGCTGCACATGGTCTGGCACAGCTTGTAATGTGGCAGGTTCTCCTGCCATGCCATCATGGCAGTGCTTCTGCCCTGCTGAGTGGCCCAACCCAGCCCTGGGACTGCCGATGGAGGGCCCTGGGACTGCCCATGGAGGGCACAGCACAGTGCTGACAAATAATATGGCATTGTACTTAATTAGCAAAGAGATCATGTCAGCTTTCAAAGATTAGAATTTGAAAAGACATTATGGGCAAAAATGTGCTGCCAAATTCTGTTTTTATTGATGGTGAGTTTATTAAGCAATGTATGGAATGCATGGCTGATATAATATATCCTGATAAAAAAACAGTTTGTCTAAAATCAGTTTATGTCAGTTTATGTCAGTACTATCAGTTTATCAGACCATAGTCAGGCAATCTGAAGAAACATAAATATCTATTGAACAAAATTTGCTAATTTCCCTTTTTTTTTTTCCTTTGGCTATAGACGAAAGTAGCGCTGCTACAGATATGGCTCAACTTGCAATTTTCATTACAGATACTGATAATAAACATGATGTCACTGAAGCAATTGCTTCTTTGGTGTCATTGAAAGACACAGCTAAATCTCTTTATTTGTGTGAAGCAGTAAAAAAACACGTTAAAGCAATTTTCTTTAATTTTTGTCAACATATCTGATATATCTACTGATGGTGCCCCGGTAATTGTTGGTAAAAAAAATAAACTTATAAAATTATTAGAAGATCATGCAGTTTCCACTGGCAACTCACTTTTGATGAAATATCACTGCATTGGACATCACAAAAATTTTATGTGTGAAAGCTTTACAAATGGACAGTCTTGTGCAAATCATCATCAAAGCTGTGAATTTCATAAAGTCCAAGGGATGGAATCATTGCTAATTCTAGGAATTCCTTAGGAGTAGGGATATTGACTTACGGGTCATCACTTACTTTTCTAAAAGAAGGTGGCTAAGTTTGGGTAAAATACTAAAAAGACTTCATGATTTTCAAAGTGAAGTCAAGTCCTTCATGGAATCAGAAGGAAGAGTTATGCCAGAACACGAAGACTAAAAATGGCTCACAGATTTAGCATTTTTGGTCGATTTTGGTGCTCATTTAAATTAGTCAAACATGTGTCTTCAGGACGTATATCAACATATCTGTGCTGCTTTTCAAACCATAATAGCATTTGAAATGAAAGTTATGGCAAACTCAAATTACGGCAAATTATTTCATGCATTTCGATACACTGGCTAAACACAGTCCTGTGAACAGTGAAAAATATGTGGATGTGCTTTCCATTTTGAGAGAGTTTTAGGAATAGGTTTCCAGATTTCCAAAAAAAAAAGATATTTTTTTTTGTATATTGTGACTCTTCTTTGAGTTTACATAAGTACATTACCTGCAAATTTTCAATGAAATATACGGAGTTACAATCAGACCTTCAACTCAAAGTGAAATGTGGTCATGTCTCTTTATCAGGCTTTTATAAGGCCCGTTTTATCCAATAAAAATAGATCTCACTTCACAGTCATGCCTTGTTCATGTCATTGCTTTTTGGCAGTAAGTACAATTGTGAACAATTATTGTCAAGGATGAAGCACAGGAAGGGTAACATTTCATAAAAAATCTCTGATGACCACCTTGAGAACTCACTAGGAATGCCACTCACTGCCCTTGAACTAGACTGATGCATTAATTTCACAAAAACAAGAGCAAACATCCTATTAGTTTTGTTTTATGTTTTTGTAGTGTATTTTAACATTTTAATAAAAAATATTTCTATAATAAAAATATAATAAAATATAAAACATTAAAAATATTTCTTGTTACTTATTTATGTTAACTTTATTATATATTTTACATGTGGCCCATTACATTCCTTTCTGCTTATTGCGGGCCAGGCAAGTCAGAAGGTTGGATACCCATGCAATAGAGTGTGGGGACCAAATTTTATTCATTCTACTGCCTGAGTAGCTATGAATGTCTTGCTTTGATGAGAAAGAAAACAATGATTATTTTTTATTGTTTGGTTTGAAGCAAGTTAATTCAACTAGTATTATTGTTGTCTTTTCATGGCCCTATGAAGAGAGCTTTAGGGGAGACTTCTGTGGGAACTCAGTCTTTAAAATACTTCTGTCTATAACTCTAGGGCATCCACAAAAGTTCAAAGGCTGTGACAGCAGCCTAGAGGACAAAGTAGTATCAGGACTCGCTTGCTCCTCTTTGCTTATGGTTGAATGGTCATTGATCACAGTGCTGGTCACTTGTGCTCTGTATCAACTTATAGTGCTACAATTTTTTTTTTTTTTTCTTTTTTTTCAGTTTGAGGGTCGAAAAACAAAAAGAGATGAGGAATCACAGACATTGAGAAAAAGGCAAATCAAATAGGCTTGCATACATTCCTGCTTGACTAACGTAGCCAAACTCACTGTGCATGATAAAGATTTAGGGTTGTGATAATAAAGTAAGAGGAGTTATGTGAGGATGCTCCTTATCAGATCTGAGGAGAACCAGTCTCCATGCCATGGACTCCACATTGCTGGAAGAAAGATTAAGTGTTGACCAACACTGTGCTCTTAAAGAGAAGTGTTACATAATGAGCAGAGATAGAATGGACAGACGTGAGAAACAGCCCCAGGAAGTAGCCTGTAAGATAAGTGCAGAAAGGCAGCTTCTTCAAAATACTGCGGTGTTCACTTATGAAATGTTTCTAAAGCCTACATATTCTGGGGAAATACATCATTGCTCTACCCCTTTCACCGTGAGAAGCATTTTTGAGATTTTTTTGACCTATTTGTTATGCATTTCTCTGTACCTTACTTTTTGCTAAAAGTCTTCCTCCTTCCTCAGCAGTAATAATTCAAAGCTCAGTGCATAAAATATCCAGTCCACATATTTATCTCCTTCCATTGTTGTTTGCATTGAGATCATACAAAATCGACTTTTATCTTTACAACATGTATTCTGATAAAGAGCTAAATATTGAGCATAAAAATAATATTCATAGACAGTGACCATCTGGTCTTAATGACTGGAGTATCAAAGAGCACTTTACTCCATAATTAGATGTGCTATGTGCTAGCAGTGAGAATTAGCCATTTATTCTTACCTGACAGGAATCTACACCTCCCATGTCATAGCCTGCACAGATCATATTCTCAGTAATAGTATATTCTGGCAACCATTCCTGGCATTTTTCATTTAAAATGAGAGGGACCTCTGCTTCTTGCAGTATATTTGAAGTGGGACCTGATGAAAATACAGAGTACATTTACGTGCTGCATTAAATATGTATAACATGTTCAGAACACTGATAGCTTTGTTCTTGTTCCAACATGTAGGCATGTTACTGAACAGCAGGAAGCCCTGCCAGACTACTGTATTATTCAGGTTTATGCCTCTGTAACACAATCACTGATTAAATGGTGCTCATTAACTGAATCCTGTCTTTCATTTGCGTAATGGGACTGAATTTGGTTGTAATTAAATGAAAGTTACTAAAATCAATGACTATGAACTTACTGTAGAGAGATCTAAGAGCTTATTAAAGGCTTAGAAGCTTGGATTTTCCAGTGTTTCCACACTATTTGTTGCGTATCTTTGATTGCATATATCTAGTTTTTATAAGCATTTCTATTACAAGTTCTTACTTAAAACTTTAAATACAATTCTACTCTGAAAATATGGATACAAATATGTACAAGCAACCATGAAAATGAATTTGCATGTTTATTATTTTATAGAGACCTCAAATTTGGAGCATGTGATATAGAAACAGAAAGTACATTTCACACTACACTCGGTATTCTTGGCTTCTGGGGAAAATAATTTGAACACTGTCAGAAACATGAATCTTTGTTCTTTCTGATCCCTTCATCTCCCCAGTTATCTGGAAATAAGATGTTCATATTCTGTAAATTGAGAAAAGTAGTCCTCATAACTACTAAGGAGATGCAATAAGGTCTTTTATTAATTTAATGATTGGAGATGTATATATTTTTTCTAATAAATATGTTGTAACTTTATTTCTTTTGAGTAGAAATGGTGGGGGAGTGGAATGGTAGAAAACTTTTTTCTAGAAGGGCATATCTCTAACCTGTTTGACCTTAGCAGCTTCTGTGGAATCAGGAGCAAATTTTCCCAGCATAATTTACCCACCTTCATATCTAATAGCACCCCAGCCAGCAATGGAACAGTTAATTCCTGGTAGAAACTGTTGATTTTCATGCGGTAAGCAGATAGGTTGTATGTAATCTGTGAATGCAAAATAAGCAATCAATTTCAATCTCTTTTCTTTATTCTTTTTTTTTTTATGAAGTCAAAAAAGAAAGTATTCATTAGTTCAAATTCATTTTTGGGACACAATAACCAGGAAGTAGTGGATGAACTCAAGAATAATTAGACTGTACAAAATGTACAGCCATTCATTCCATCATGGTTAGCATATTTAGGGTTTAAGCAACATATACGTTTTGTGGAAAAATACAAACTCACTTACTTACCTGTATATTGAACTTTGTTCTGAAGATGCATCAGAGCAATATCACTGTCTTTTGTAAGTTTGTTATAGTGAGGATTTATAACTATTTGATCAATGTTTTGAACTACCGTTAAAGTGTCTGTCATATTTGACTGGTCATATAAGCCAAGAACTGCTTTCCATGTAGATGGTTGTAATTGCCTCCTGGAAGTTGCAAGGAATATTCATAATTATGAATGATTAATGAACATTCTGAAAAATATGCTAGATAAAATGCTAATCTTTAAACTCATTATAATAAGTAGCATGCTCTCATTTTCCCCTCAATTAATAGGATAATGTAGTAGAGGTCCATACAATTTTGTGGTAGTTATATTATCTTAAACATTCATACTGTAGTATGTGATTGACTTTTGATTTTAAGCTTATATGCGTTATTTAGAAGAATTAATCATACAGCAGTGCAGTGGAATAAGATACATTAATTAAATCACTATGTCTTTTTTAGCATTCGAAACAATACTGCTGACTGCCCACAATGCAATTAGCATTGGTCCTAGTTAGAAAATTATAGAACTGTCTGAAGAATAATAGATTACAATGTTGTAGTAGAAAGTACTTCAGCTCATTGACTCAGAAAATTGGTCCCTTAGTTTTTTATCTAAGTTAAAAAAAATATGTTCAGACAGCTATGGCATAAATCTACATGCTTGTTTTTTTTTTTTTTTTTTTTTTTTTTTGCTGAGCCATCTATGCTGGTTTGAAACTAAGCTTTCTGAGGTTTCTAAGCTAGTGAACACATGCATTTGCTAGTTTTTTAATCAAGTTCATTTTTATTCTAAAACATTATTTCAGTCTGCTTGATGTATGGAATTGGTTTCTGTTTATCTTTTTGACTGACATCTGGAGGCTACCTTGTTCTAAATCAGCATTTCAGTTAAATATTCAGAATTAAGAGCTAAAAATATAAACTGTTGCTTAAAGGAAAAACTCCAGCAAATTCAACACAATAAAATGATATCTAAGTGAAAATAGAAATGGGAAATAGGTGAAAAGGAAGCACCAATGTAAGTGTGGATTTATCATGTGCAAACTAACATGGCTTGATCCCCCTCATTTCAAGGGCTTTGTGTGGAATATACTCCTGTAAGGGAATGAGGAGTCATTCTTATACTGGCATAGCCTCCCCAGTATTATTATTTAGCTATTCATAATGAAAAATCTACTATAGTTTTGAATAATAACGTTTGTCTTTTGCTATTGCAGTTTCTGAGTGTCTTCTTCAGTACTAGTTTCTATTACAGACGTTATGGAAGCAAATCTTAGAAAATATTTATATGCATCACTTCTTTGTGGTACAAACAATGCTATCTGGAGGACATTGCAATATTGCCTGATCAATATTTATGAATCAAGGTTCATTCAAATTATGCACAGTAGATCTTGATCAATCTGTGATACTTAACAGGTGGAATGGGAAAAAATGATTTTACCTTTCTTAGATACTTAATCCTTTAACCACTACATACCATCCTCTAACCACTAACAGAGATTCCTGTGAGCAACGGAGGCCCACACTGCTTATAGGTAAAGTAAAAATGCTCAGTATTAATACCATGTATTTTAAATGTTCATTGTTCAGAAAATGGCTCTTGGTTTCTATGACTGTCTGCTTTAAAATAAGGACTGAGGATTTACTTGTACGTAGCAGAGCTTTATGTGATTCAAACATAGTAATTTAACAGTGAAGTAGTTATTAAGTTTTTATATTAGAATCACAAATTATTAATTATCAGATACATCCTTAGTCAATCTGCACATAAAGCAAATGTTTCACATGCTTTCTTAAAATGAAAAAGACATGGTATGGATGTCATCTGGCCATCTCAACAAGTCAGCAGGATGCCCTGCAGTCAGTGGAGACAAAGATGCATTTGTGAATCTGTAATAATTTCATTTCAAACATCTAAAAAGTACCTCCTACCAATGGTTTCAATATGATCCTTTAAAATTGCGATTTGCTCTGTGATTGACCAATGACTCAAGATTATACTTCAGCCCAACTTTACTGACAGATATCCACCATTTAGGTACTTGCATGTTGTGGGAGCATCAGAATGCATTAACTTATGAGTACAGTGAAAGTTACCCATATACACAGTGTGCCGCTGTCACCAGCCATTCCTCATTGACAAGGGAGGCTCCACAAACGGGTCTGGAATTAAAACGGAGTGAGACAATCCAAGGCCAAGCCTCTCTTCTGGCATCACTTCCACCTACAATCCTTGTTCCTTTGTGCTCAATTTCCAGGCGTTTTCCACAAGCTAAAATAAATGCATATATGTATTTTAAATAAATACATGCAAATTTGTAGAAGAACATGGTATGCTTTATTTGAGTAGTTAAATTCTTGGAAAAATAGTCTTGGTACTACCTGACCTGCTATTCAAAAATATTATTACTGTGGAGAAAAGTTTGCCATTTTATAGCTGAAATCAAGATGCAACTTCGTAACTTGGATTTAGATGTTTTATATCCTAAGATCTTAAATTTTTGTATATATTTGCTTTCAGTATTGACCCGTCTCCAGTGTATACTTAACTCTGAAAACAAGTGAAGATTGTAAATTTTGCTGTGTTTATATCATTACAAGCATGGCTTTTATAGTCCATTTCCTAACCTTTCAATTCAAACTATAAACATTAGGCTTTATGGACTGAACAATCTGATTTCTATGTGAAACATTCCCAGGGTAAATGTACTTACGTTTAATATTACACTGCAGATGAATCACCAGGTTGTTTAAACAAAGTTCTCTAGAAGGAAAGTATAATTAAATCACAAGTATCTGTATACCAAGTAACTCTTTCATGTATGTAAATGTACATTAGCTTCATTCATGACAGATTCTAAATAAAACTGTAACTGCATGCTGCATTTATTTTACCTTTTGAGAAGTTTTAATAACTTACCACTAGAGATCAGTGTAACCAAAGAATTTTGAAATGGTTAGTTCGATATCACTGTATCTTTTTTACTAAGCTTATAGTGCACAATAAAATATATAGCTGCATATAGAGGGGAAGGAATTATTTAGCAGAGATATAAAGCCAGAGCCTGAAGAGCATGAAACCACAGATCAAAACTACTCAAGCATTTCTGATACCTAGAGGTTTTAAGATTATCTTCATAGCTTGTAATGAATCTGAACACTTGGGACAGTGTGTGTGCTAGCAATTTAAATTGGATACACAGAAATATATCAGAAAGAAAAAAAAGTCAGCTAAGGGCTAGGTCACAGTATGCATTTCCACTTCATTTTTTCAAAGAGATAAAAGGAAGCATTCTTTAAGCAGAATATAGCATTATGCATCCCTCACTATAGTTGCACTAAAATTTGGCATTTTTTGTGAGAGAAATAATGAGTGACAGCCCAGCAAGTGAGAACATGTAACCTTCACCTCCATCTCTATCTAATTAAATCTTCATTATGGTGAGTGTAAGAGGGTGAAATATGCCTCCAGCTCTGTATTGTATCATACAAACTAGCCAATCTAATACTCAGCTTGTCAGATTTGTCCCTATTTTTATGTTGAAATTAGGGTCTATCTCCCACCATCGGTACCTACTGATTGCTTAGTAGAAGGTACTTTATGGGAGTCCATTTTTTTGTCTATTTGGAGTAAGTTTCCAGTATGAAAACCATTTCCTTGCCTGCATTTCAATTTATCAGTCCTCAGTTACCCCTTGGTTAGCTCAGAGTCCAAAAGGCAGTAGAGTCACACTACATGTGCTAAATATCCATCCTATGTAACTCTGTGAGAATTATCTGTGAAGGAGCATGCTGGGAAGAAATCTTAAATCTATGAGTATGGTCTCACTTAGGAATGGCAAAAAAAAATATGCCTGTAGCATCTGCTCATGTGTATCTTCAAAGCAGAATTTTGGCCCATACAAAGCAATTCTGCCAAGAAATCCATTACCTAATGGCATCAGAGAGCAGTTATGCCGTTTCCGTACTACAGCTTTCAGGTATCTGTATGACCCTTTACATTCATGGCAGTTACTCTTGAAACTAAGACCATAGGCAATGTGAGAAGCAGCTTTTTAAAATTTGATTACCAATTTGATTTTTTAATTATCAAATCTATGTGATCATTCTAACATACACACAACAAAAGCATGTGAGACTTTAATGGTGTTACCCTGTAAAATGATTCCTATCAGTTTTCTAGATGAAGAATATCTGTCTAGATACCCATTTCATCAACAGAAATGCAACTAAGATTAATGAAGTTATTCCATCCACTCCTGCATCAATTATCTTCAAGTGTTTAAGAGATATTAACAGAAGACATCTTTAAATTACTGCTGTTGTTTAAGATCTCTTGTGGTTATCCTTATTTAGACATGTAGTCAAGAAAAACATGAAAAGTAACTTGCAGTATCTCAATTGTAAAATATCCTTTCGCCACCAGTAAAAATGACAAATGTCGGGATTAACAGAGTATAACTGGAACAAACAATGGATTTTTTTTTTTTTTAAAAAGAAATAATACAGCATATCAAACTAAGAGTTCTACCCGCTTTGCTACCATGCGGTGTGCTCATAAAGGAAACCTGTAAGAACATGGACTCTTGACATCATCCACATCATTTCATCATTTTAGCAATTATACAGTAATTTTCTGCGTCAATGCTTGTAGTAGGATTCCAGGATAATGTTTGTTACAAACCTTCTTATAAGCAGAAACTCAGTAACTGAAGTCATTATATAATGTTTTATTTGATGGTGGCAATCCTTTCTACTTTGTAGAGGTGTACTTAAACCCGGTATTTCCTGAGAAAGTAATCCTGGGCAAACATTAAATTTTCATTTAATCTACAAGAAACACTGACTGACAGTTTGTATGACTTTTCAGAATCACTTCAGGTGTTATTTGGACTGAGGAAGATAAGGATGTAATGCATTCCAACGATCATTTCATCTAATGATAAATATGGAGACACGACATGAGAATGACACGTGGAAACATTTTTTGAACTAAATTAATTTGTCTAAACATAGATACAGCTGTTGTCCTATGTGTCTTATCAATAAACTCAATGGATTACAAAATGTGATTCATCTTATTCCAGAAAAGATAGCTAGACAAATTAGAATTTGGAAATACTTTTTTTCTCTGTTGATTTTAGGGAGAACCAAGAGTGAAATTGATGTATTCATAGTTTAGAGATCTCTAGATAAGAAACATTTTATAAATAGCATTTTCAAACAAAATGTGCATGTAAAAAGAAATGTAAAAGTAACAGTATTAATAATTTTCACAATAAATATATAAAAATATTGCATAAAATTATACCAAATGCTAAAAATACATCAAGCATCTCTCTTATTTAAGATTTGTAATAGGCAAACAAGAATGGAATGTGGAAAAGTGAACTGCACAATGATGCATACAATTCAACAGTAGACACAGAATAAAACCTATTTCTATGGTCCAGACCTCGTACAGAATCACATTAGTCTTCAGATAAACTTAAGCTGGAAATTATTGTACAAATCATAGTCACTGCACTTGCATTTTTCCTTAGCATGAGGAAGCAACCTCACTCTACTCACTTTTTTGTAAATATTAGGCTCTGATTCGCTACTTCAGTGATGTCGACAAATGGACCATCTCCAGTGAATAATACAGTTGATGACATATTTGAATTCCTGGAAGGAAAAGACACACATAGGTATTTTTAGAAATTTATGCTGTTTTATTGGTGGAGGACTGTCTGGGAAATGATGATGTTTGTGGAATTATCTGGAGATGTGTGAGGATTAAAACTTTCACAGTGACTTGCCTAACTTCATTCACCTTATTCTAAGAACTCCAGTGCTACAATGGAGAGAAAACAATTATTTTAATGAAAGTAAATTATGAGTTTATCCTCTTTTGTGCCACAGTGAATGGTTTGCAATACTGATTCTTAAATATATGGAGATGGATTGTGGTGGTATGGCAATAAAGACTGAAGCTTCTTGACAGTATCCCATTATATGTTGTTGCCATGTGACAGTTGGCAGTAGAGGGGCAATCTGACAAAATGGTGTCTGGCATGGAAGTGTGGATGATGTGAAGGTGTGTCATTAAATTTCTCTATGTGGAAAAAAATGCCATCCATTGATATTTGTTGACTCTTGCTGAACATTTATGGAAACCAAACATCGGATGTGAGCACAGTGAGGTGCTGGGTGGTACATTTCAGAAGTGGTGATATCAACAGTGGATTGATACTGCTGGTGCAGGTTTTTTATGAGTGTAGCATGCAGGCTCTTGTTCATCGATGACAAAAATGCACAGCTAATAATGGTGACTGTATTGAAAGTTAGTATTTTGTAGCTGTGAATTTGCTCTATCAAGTAGTGCTATTGTGTTCTTTAGTTTCTTTAGCTATTACAGTTTCTGTGGAAATAAATAGAAGGTATTATTTTTGCAGCAACCTACTTAAATGCTGAAATTTCTGGATTACAGGCTGGATCTTCTCTGATCTTTCCTTTAACAATAGGGACTTTATTTAGCTTCCTCATCTTTCTGAAATAAAATCTAAAGTGCTTTTTTGAGAAAACCTTTGGTAATTTCATTTGATTCATTTGTATTCTTTGAATTCCTGAGATACACACAGCTGGAGATTCCTAAATGTTATCAGTGATTGCAAAACCAAGCTGCTCTTCTTTCAATTAATGTATTGATAAATGGTGTTTCTGTAAGTATAAGAAATCATATACTTTTCCTGGAGCAATGCAGTTTAGTAACAGCAATGTATCATTATGTATTATTATGCAGCAATTCCAAGTCACAGCTCTTAAATATTCCTTGATTCAAGGCATTATCCAACACATACATATGGTGTACTCAAGACAAAGTGTTCTAATAAGATTGCTTTGCTAGAACTGATTAGCATTCAAAATACAGTTAGTTTTTAATTAGAGGGAATGATAATGGAATATTATGATAGATTTTAGCTCTAGTAATCTAGCTTCTTATCATTTCAAAAGGAAGAAAGATTAACACCATGGGCCAGATCCTAAAGGTGATGTGTAATTTAGTTTTCACTGGGGATCTACTGTTAATGAAAATGATTTATTAGAAGTATTGAAGGCTATGACAAAAATGGCCTTAAGGAGGCTAACCTACGAATTAAGTAGCCCTCACTAGCCAGAATTTACAGAATAATTTTGGATAAGTTTCTTACACACAGATCTACAGAGGTATTTACGGTTTCAGTCTCTATCTATGTCCCTGATATGATCAGTAACAATAAGCAGTACCAAATGTTAGAAAAGATTCAAATGAAGTGGTACATTTCTGAATAATTATTCTGAATAATAATGCCATTTGTTCAATAACTACAATTTTTTCTCTTATCTAAAAAAATAAAAATAAAAATCCACATGCTTATTTGAAGAAAATATATTTACAGATTTTTCATTCTATTGTTTAATTTTCAGACTGCAGGATATTTGTAATTTGTTTTATTTATGCTTAATTCACAGGGTAGTGTTTCTGCTTTGTCCACTGATTTTATGACAAACAGGAAAACAATACTAAAGAATTGTAGCAAATTGTCAACAGTGAATACTTTCTTTAGTATAAAAGAAAGGCTTTGTTCACATGTGGATTCATATGAAGAACAACTATTTCCTAACTGCTGATGTGCACACAATATTTTTAGAAGAAATCATGCAAATAGAAAATAAAAATAACCTCTCTAGGCTTTCTTGATTTGAAAAGAAGCATCTTATAAGAGGGGTTAAACAAAGGTTGCTCACAGTTTCTGTACGTGAGTGAACCTGAAAATCTCCAAAAAACCTGAACATGAAACTTCTCTTGTGGCTTCCAGTTGACAACTGACATGACATTAAGTCTATCACCAAGCTATCAGGACAGTTCTCATTCTGGCTGCAAACTCGGCCTCAATACACTGAGGAACAGGTTCTTTTCTACCTCCAGTCAATGACTTTTATAGCATTTTGCCACACTGGAAAGCCTGAGTCTGGCAGTCAGAAGTCAAAATGATTTTATCTGGTATTTCTAGTAGCTAGGCATGTAGCTACTACTACTACTGACTGTTTACTAGTGGAGTAAATGAAAATGTAAGTGACCTGGGCATCTCAAACATGACATTTTATTTGTTAGTTAATTTTCAAGAATTTTATGGGTTCATGAATAAAACAGGCTACAGGTCTGCCAACACTGGTCCTAAAGAAACAAATGTATTTGAAACCAAACAGAGGAAATGGTGGAAAGTTCAGTGTCTGAACTGATGGCTCAAAGAAAATCAATGCTAATAATGACAACAATAATCAGGCATGGCAGTGTTGTGCACACGGTCACAAAGCACATACTGAACAAAGGATCCTTCTTTAGGTTTCTCAGTTCCACCATTCCATGCACCTTTTTCTCTGGACTCACTTTTGTGTATTTGTGTATTTGTGAATTATTTCCCTAACCTATATTTTCGTAGATGCACACATGGGCATCGCTCTAGATTTGCTTGCTTGGTACATATCACAAATACAACAGCTGCATACTTGAAGAATGGAGGCAAAAGGATTCTGATGTGTGATATACTAGAATCTATTTGAACATTACACTTTCTAGCTCAGCTACATAAATAATCATCATATGCTGCAGGGCATCGTTTCACTCCTTTTCATAAAATAAACAGTAAACGAGACTAGTAAATGTATAAGCAGTTAATAGCAAAAGTAAATAATCCAGATTAACCTTAGCCTCTTTCTCTGATAATTCCAGGTAATTATTCAGTAGAGCAGCATGAGATACAGCCTATCAAGGACCTGCTATTACAAACATTCATTTACTAACAAACGTGGTGCTAATCGTTAACAAATATGCTGCAACAAGGAGATAGATTCAAAGAAAGTATAAATAGTGTGATATTTAAGGGATTTCTAGATTTGTGTGAAAGTTTCATTCTGCTATCAGGATTTTTAACAGAAGTAGCACCCAGGATATCAGAGGTGATGCAATTTAGTTATAAAAACACTATTTTTTAAAAAACAATGAGAACAGGTAAAAATCTGAGCAATGGAATTAAAAAGAACTAACCAAGAAACTTAAAAGAATTTTTTTGGACAGGAATATTTGACATTACTGTAGAGACAAACTCTAAAATACATTAATACAGAATGTTATTGAGACAACAGCATAAGTAATTTTAAAATGTTAATAGAAAGTGTCATGGAAAAAAAAGTTCAGTGAAGCCTATAAATTATTTAAATATAAACTAAACCATTAGACCACAAAATGACTAGTATTCAAAAGTTATAGAGGAAAAAGAGGCAATGACAGGCAGAGAGGGAGAAAGAGGGAGAGGAAGAAGGCTAATGGCCATTGTAAATGGATGAGGCATCTGACTCAAAGAACACTTAGTCATACTTTTTGTGTCCTTATATACATGCATAAAAAAGATAACTACATACCAATATTACAAATAGGATTTGTGCATCTGATATGTACACAAAAGCAGTACTTAACCAAAAGAAATAAGAATAAAACAGTACATATTCATTGGATGATTGAAAATGCTTTCAAATAACATTTTGTCTTTTTTCCTAGCCCTCTTTACTTTGCCATTTCTACAGTTAATTTATGAGACAGGCATTTGCAGGCATCTTACTTTTGTTGGAGAGCAACATAATAAACTGCAAGCTAAGAATTTTATTTGATTATTACTTGAGTAAATTACATTCTCTAAAAACCTCAGCACTGTAGGAAAGACATTTATTATTCATTGGATGGCAGTGAAATTTCATACAGTGTAAGTGGGGCCAGAATTCGGGCCATAAATTTCTGTAAAAATACAACACTTCTGCACTAAACTCTCCTTGCCTCTTCCCTGGAAATTCCGCTGAATAGCAGCAACTGAAGACAAATCTGCTTTTTCAATCATATGCTTCCCTCCTTCCTCCAGCCGCAAACACACCTCGAGTGAAATAGTTCCCTACCCCAACAACTCATGTTTAATGATAGGTATGAAATGTATTGGGAGCCCAGTTACAGGATACTCAAGTGGTTATCTTGAATTTACTTGAAATGAACATCAGCATGACAGTAAAGTAGGCAAGGATCCTGTTTTCTCAAGATTTGATTTTGTGCTGTTCTCGCAAAAATGAAGACATAAATGATGACACAGTGATAAAAGACTAATGCTTTCACACGAGACTCACAGTGTTCTCCAATATGTGTACTCATATTTAATCTGCTGTTTTCAGAGTTAGTAATACAGTGATGAATGATTTAAAAATAAGCATTGTGACACGTACAAATTTGTTCACTGATTTGGAGCTTCATTTACTACAGAAAAGTATATTTGTTTCGGTTTTTATGGGTCGTAACAATACCACTAAAATGATGAGAAAAACACAAATTCACAAACTCAGCAAAACTTCAAACAAGTTACAAGAGCATTTAATATTTTCACTCACCCTAATCCCAGCTGCTGGCAAACATTGTCTGAAATCTTTTCATTCCAATCAGCTGCACATGCCAGGTGCCATACCTTCCCGATCCTGACCTGTACCAGTCCTTCAGTGCTTGCAGAACCATTAAGCAATCTCACTGTAGACCAAAATGGACAGAAGCATTTTAGATAGGTGATTAAAATACAAAGGAAAACCACCCCCAATGAAAAACAAGGCAGTATGCACAGATTTATTATTGCTAGCAAAGAACAAAAGAAGTAAAGATGTTAAGATGCACTACAGCAGTAATAAACCCAGCATGTTCAGGATATTGCATTCCTATGGGGAGGAAACATTATCTTCTTCTATATTTCTGCCACAGGACAGTTTCATAGCTTGTATTTTGCAAGTGTCTTGAGAAAAGACAGCAAATAGTATATTTTCCATCTACTCTAAACAATATTTATTCTTAGCCAGCACTATGTAATTTCCAACTGCTTGTGAAGTTTTAGCTATACAATGGTCAGTAATGATAACTGGAAATAAAGTTTTAAAACAGAGCTAACTGAAAAATAGGATTATCCAGTTTCAGTTGCTATGAGAACTTTTGCTTTCACTGCAGCTTAAGTTAAAATAATAGTAATAGCAATACATTTCTCTGAAAACCAGTATTTCCATCAAAAGTTTTCCAAAAGACAGTGTTCAGAAAAAAAATTTGTAAAGCCATCAATAATGTGGTGAAAAATTTTATGCTATTGGCATGGTGACTGAGGAAGTTGGAGTGGAAGGTCAACAGAATCCTGTCTATAGCATGAGCTAAAACTGCATTTGAAACAAGTAATGGTTATTGCCAGCATGAAGTAAGGAAGAAAAAAACACAAGGTATTTGTAATTTACTGGTTACTGATTTTTTAAAATTTTTTAAAATTTTTTTAAAATAAAATTTTTTCAAATAATACTAGCTCTCCAGAAAACTATTTTCCACTGCTTTTTCCCTAATAATTAAAGCCTTCCTATAAACAAACAAACAAACAAACAAACAAATATTTAGGAATGCCTTTTGAAACTCAGAGCACATGAATGAAGTGATATATGGGAGTAGATTAATGGTATACTTCAATCATGCTAGATTTTGGAGTACTATTAAAAATCTCAGAATTGCATGCAGTTTGAGATTTCTCCAAATTATTTTTGACACCTTTCCTCTCTCCTACTTGAACTATAATTCCTCTTCCTTTCTCCTCATCACTTCTACATTCATCTCCAAACACACTTCTGTTAAGCCATAAAAGACTTACTGAGCACTCAAAAGTTTAATTCAAAATTTAATTCAAAAGTTCATATATTTTACTACTTTCCATATGAAGACATATGTTATGTTTTCCCTTCGCTGCCCATGGGGAGTTTCAAAAGTTGGAAGTATTTGAAAATGCCAGTTTGTCAAGTTTAAAATGGCAGTTATGATAAAAAATTGAAATTTAGGAAAAGGAGCAAGTATTTTGGACACTGAAAAGACTCAATGTGATAGTGTCTAATTAAATTTTCATTTTATTTTAAAGATTAGATTGATTCAGCCAACTTTTGGATTAAATGGGTTTTTGGAAACAATTCTGCCAATCCTTTAATGTGAGGTAATTTGTTAAGAAGGAATAGACAACCCATGGCAAAATAAATCTTTGGGAAAACGTACAAAATGTTAAAGTAGGTGATAGTAACTTCTCCAGATCTTTAACAAGCTCTGGAACAAAACTTTCCGGTCCTCTTTGCTTAAGAAAAAGCTGAAGTGAATTTTATTTTGTTCATTTTAAGAAGCAGGATATTATTGCAACAAAATAGTTAAAGCATTAATATGAAGGCTGAATTTGGGCTTTCATACACACACATATATATAAAAGATGTTGAAATCAATAAGAACTATCAGCATACATCTCAGGACATATCTCAAGCACAGAAGTCTTCCTTAAAACAAGGCAGATGATGATGTACAGAGCTTAAAAGCCTGCTTTTAACTTTCCCATTAGTGCTCCATAATACAGTGTCAGAAAAGCACTTTGTCAGGAACAGAAATTTGGTTTTTGCTGTAGGCCCAATATGATTTTAACATCAGTTTTACATTTAAGTTGTTGTTTAGGGAATATTATTTCCATGTTATATGAAATGAAGCCATATGTTGTAAACCTAAATTTTGGAAATGGCCATTTTATTAGGAGATTAAGCAACAGTAGCTGTTGCTTTTCCTGTTGTAGGAATCTGCACATTTGCAGTGAGCAACAGATGCCACTTTTGCAGCCGTGCCATGTCTTCACCCTGTGGCAATGCCTGCATAAGATGGAGTCCAAGCAGTCTGGAGGGTGCCACATGACGCAGTTTGACTTCCCACTCACAGAAGTATTTGAGAGTTTCTGTCAAGAAGATTTAACCCTTACCCCACACTGCAGCATTTATACTGCTATTAATCTCAAATTACTTGCAGGAAAAAGTGATAAAATTTGGAAATCTGAAATGGATGTAGGGGATAGCATGTAATGAGTTTTCATTATATTTTGAGGTCATTATAAGCAGTCACTGGTTTAAGCATAGAGCAACTTTCTACCTTTAACAGAAATTTCCACCAGATTGCATACATTGACTCAGAAATGTGATTTTACTTTTCTATCCCTGACAAAGCCAACAGATACTGATGTGTAAATTAGCATGTCTTGCATGCAGTTCCAGTAGTTCACACAAGCTGTGTTATTGTGCCTGTTTGCCTAGGTAACACCTACTAAATATACATGCATCCTTTTTCTATGTATGAAGGGAAACTCACTGCATTTTTCTTCATCAGAGCCATCTTCACACTGAGGTAGCTTATCACAAAGGTTATCCAATGGTATGCACTCTCCACTGCGACACTGATATTCTTCAGGTGCACAAGCTCCTAAATGAGAACAGAAAAGGAGAAGGAAATTATAATTACTAGGTTATATTGATGTTCAATGCAGATCATCCAGTTTACCATAAAATAAAATTGATTGAATAATACAGAGGACCTTTTCCTAATGCCCTTCTGCTCTAATTCTGTTTTCTATTTCCTTGCTTCCCCTTTCCTTTTATCTATTTTTCAGAATAAAGACTATTTTTAGATAAATAGAAGGGAATATATATCACATATAGAGTAAATATAAAGCTATAATTATTTCTGTGTTCAAAGTGTATTTTTAATGGTGCAATTTATTTTGTGGAAGTCTTATTTAAGGCAAGACAAGTGATTAGCGTCTAAATTTTTAATATCCATATAAAATTATTCATTTGACAGTCAGCATAGACTGCTGTGTAACATATATGGAAAAGAATATGATTTCTAAACACATTAACTGGCAACAGCTGATGCCAGATTTTCCACAGAAATCACTTTGCATGGCTAGATGAGAACAAGATTTTCCAAATCCGCCTTTTACAAAAATTATATTTTATACCATAAAAAGTATTTATTGTCAAATTATGCTCCCATATCAGAATCTCAATATTTCATGGAAAAATAACATGTGAAGAAAAATCTGCTTTTCTTCTAAAATTCACTTAATGGCAATGCTTTTATCTTTTTATTTTTATAGACCTGTAGGCTAATGAAATTAATATGTGTCCTTTGGCTGCAAAGATCATGAATAAGCATAATTCTTTTGGAAATGAAAACTTTTCGATATATTTAAGAAGAACTGGCCATGGCCACTTTGAGAACTTTGCCTCACTAAGCTTAATTCTTATTTTACAGCCAAGTGTGGGGAACGTTTCATTTTTGCTGAATCAGCTGAAAGAAGTCTTAGCATTGTTGGACTTAATAAATGTGATAGAGAAGGAAGAAAGAGAAAAAGTAAAATGGGCTTATGCCAGTATAAATCTGCATCTCAGTCTTGAACAATGCGAGTTGATTTTGCAACAATAAATCAATGATTAAGATTTTTGAGATATTAAGAAAATTAATATAAGTGCTACTACTAATCTGTAAAAGAGCTGCAGCTATTTAACATGCCTGAAGATACTTGTCTTTATGATATTTAAAGAAAAAAAAGTTTAGGTTCTTGTTTTCCTTCTCTACATGCAAGTGAATGGTACTGCATGCATCTCTGAACACACTGCTTTTCTATTCTCTTATTTCTGTTGTCAGACTTCCATAAAAGTAACACAAAGCCTTTAGTCAGTTTCCATAAGACTTGTTCTAGAGACAGTGATAGCGTAAGTTTGTCCTTGTAAGCATGTTGCTCTTGCATATACTTTTGTATTTGGCTCAATTTTGCATGTTTTTGGAGAGACAATCACTGAATTTTGCAAATGACAGGTCTAAGTGCAATCAAGAAAAACAGAACTATTTCATCAGAGGACAGACTAGAACCAGAAACACACTGCTGTCCAAATATATAAAAGTCTCTTTTCCCAGATTTTTCAGATATTAAGTGCACTGCTGGCAAGTTTACAGAGGACACAAGCAAGTGGTGCAGTTGATACAACAGAAGGAAGGGATGACATCCAATGGGACTTGGAGAAGCTTGAGAAGTTGGCTTACATAAGCTTAATGGGATTCAACATTGCTCTTGAGCTGGGGGCGATCCCAGATATGTGTACAGACTGAAAGAACTCATGCAGAGTAGACTTGCGGAGCATGATATGGGGGTCCTTGTGAAGGACCTCCTTGTGGGCAAAAAGCTAGCCATGAGCTAGCAGTATGCATTCATATCTCAGAAGACCAATTGTCAGACATTAATGACATCATCAAATGTGTAAAAAAGTGATCTAATGACAGAGCTTTAATAAACAATCATTAATATTTGCCCTCTTATATTTAAAATGTTTATCAGCCAAAATAATGAGTCACTTTTTCACATACAATTGCAGAGAATTGGAGATGGTACAGATACTGACCAATAGGTCATTTTATAAAGTATCAAAAATGTCACTTTTTGTTCTAGAAAACATACAGTGCAGATGAGTAACTGCTAATCTTTTTAACTTTTTGGTATTTCTGTTGACTAAGGACAGAGAGACACCTTCTATGTGCACTTCAATTTTATTTCAGCTCTGGTATAAGCTCTTAAAGACAAGAGATCATATACTTACCTAGATTGTAGCCAGTAGTAAAGTTTGCAAGAAATCCCTTGCCTGTTGCAATCTCGTCCGTAAAAAGAGTTACTGTCATCTGGTTTGTTGTAGAGAAGACATCAGGCAATGGGTCGTTTCCTGTATAGACAGCTATTCTCCAGGAGAACATGAAGATATTTATGTTATTTTGTTCTTATTAATTTCAAAATGTTTTAGGGTTCAGTGCAAACACTGCTACTGCATGAATGCAGCTATTTCTCAAAACTAGATGCAATAAGATTGCAATGTCCAAAGCCCAACCCCTAATTTGACACATCAGAACAGAAAATAATGACACTGTTTGTCCAGGAGCATGAACAGTATTATTTACTAAGTTGTTTTCTCTTGGATGTATGACAAGCTAAGTGTTTACAAACACTTTGGAAATGCAGTGTCACATATGGTATGTTATCTCAAGTTCTCCTACTTTCCAAGACAAATGAATATGAAGAAATAAAGAAGAAAGAGAGAATTAATTTCCTTTACGTTTGATCCACCAATTTGCTTGAGTGGCCTGATTGTATTCATTTTACTACACATCAGAGTTACTTACCCAAAAGTAAGGAATCTTGTCCTCTGCCATCTCTGACTTCAACAACATCATAAATATTTTCCAGATCAAAAACCTGAAAATGAAGTTGAATGTTTTTTCCTTTTTCAGCATTTAAGTACCATACACCTAGAAAATAGTAACACACAAACACAAAAATCACCTTATTGTTTTTCAGAGTTTACTGTGCAATTTTCTTAAAAAAAAAAAAAAAAAAGATGTAGAGGTTTAAATCTTAACGTTAAAAGGAACTAATGCTGTCAAGACCTAAAATTTTGTTGACTCTGGCTCTCTAAAATACCTTTGAAAATTGCATTTAAGCTTCTAAGACATACACACGTATTTATTACCATTCATGGCATCTGCAGTTTTCTCTGACTATAAAAAGGGTAATTATTTTGTACATATGAAAACATGACAAATAGTTTTGTCAACTAATCCTTATGCTATTTGATAGTAAAATATTTTCTATCATTGTACACAGAAAACTGCTTTTAAAGTTATTTACAGAAGAAGTATTTGCCTCTGTTTAACCTTACCATATTTATTCTGTGTAAGTGAGGATACTATGGAAATCTTGCAAAGTTAAAAATAAACAACATAAAACACTTTTCTCACTTCATAGAGGGAAAAATATTTTCTCGCTAGTCACAATCTCATCTGGGAACGTGTGAAATTAACACTTGGCAATGAGAACCATATCTCAAATGGGACAAAAACACAGAATAACGTTTTTTGTGATTAGCATCACAACACAATTCTACAGTTAAAGATGAAGTAATAAATAACTGAAATTTATTTAAGAAGTAACAGCAAAGTTCTCTTCCTTGCTTCATCCATCAACCGCACTTAGCAAATCACCTTGAAGCATTGTATTCTAATTTTCTTATTAATTTTGCCAACTCTAGCTTAATATATATCAAGTAACATTAGTAGAATAGTGCCATCTTTTCACCAATATGTTAAGAAACATTCTATAGAGAAGTTGCAAAATGCATACATTCTTTCACCTTAAAAAAGTTAGCAATTTAATAGAAGTGATGACCAGGCTACTAACCTGGCAAATACATTGAGGTGAAATGTTAAAATGCAAACGTTCTGCATTTTGTCTGTTGTACTGACATAAAAATATTTGATATGAAAGATGTGATGCAACTGGCCAGTCTGAAACATAATAGTGTGAACTCATTATAATATTTTTTAAATCAACTGGCACAAGATTCCTTAGCTTCTGCTAAGTGCCATACACATACACTTTAGTTAAAAGAGCCCACTGTATTTAGCTAAAATCTTTTCAGCTTGACAGTAGGAAAACACATTTAGAACTATTATTCAACTAAACTTTTCCTGAAGACTTGGAGAAGAATAACTTACAAGAAGCTTGATTAGGATAATTGTTTGGAAAGTTTTTAGAGCTGAATGTATTGTTTGGCTCCCAGAGTTCAACTGGACCCCCACAGTCAGCTGAAAAAGAGAACATTACAAGAAAATAAATAATCTATTTCCTTACTGTTGCAATCAGTTGTCTTCAAAGATAATTTGGAAACAGTAATTTTATGAAGAAGTTATTTAACATTACCAGTATGAGGACACAGCTATGCTGCTACTGTTATAAAGCTTGAACAATTAATTATGAGAAGTCACCATCCCAGTAAGGATCATTGGAGAATGTGTGAAAGCTTCACTATCCCTCTCAGTTGCAGTGTCTAAGTCAGACTTGCTGACCCATATAATTCATGACATTTTGTTACCTACAGCTAGAGGTCAGTGAAGTGCTAATGGCAAGGTGTTCAACTGCAGTCCTGATGATGTTATGAAAAGTCATTCCCTATGTAGGCAGTGGAATAACAATTTCCTTCATATGATGACTACTGGTCTGCAAACTGTACACGTGACAGCAAATTGGTCGAAAAGTTTATAATTTAACTGTCAGTTAATTTAAAAGCTTGAAAACAAGTGTGTAAGACCATTATGAACAAAAAAGCATTAAACTGGCTTTTGTTATGAAATATTAGTGGCGATACAAAGAGACACAGAACTACTGTGAAGCTGCATAAAGAATCTAAGATGCATAGCCAGTAGCATCTGATGACAATCTTGCTTCTTTCAGTGGGCATAATGCAGGATTTTCTCAACACTGTAGAAAATGATGACTTTTCCTGAGGGGGAAAAATCTTCTGTGATTTTGCCAAAACATTAATTTATATTGACATACACATTAAAAGTGTAGAATCTACTCTGTAATTTTCACACTGTGGTTTGTATTAGAAGACAGGTTATAAATGAGTATGAAGATTAAAGCAATCCTTGCTTTAGATGAAAGTGTAAGGTAACAGTCTTGTGTAAATGACAAAAGGAAATCCAGCTTTCCTACCACACACAATGGCAAAAAAAAAAAAATTGACTTTTCAGTGAACTTTTGTGGCACTGCAAATTATGCCAATATATCTCACTGAAACTCTAAATCTAGCAAAGGGAATTGGCTCAATGCAAATTCTTTTGTCTCTCATTTATATATGTGACATTTGTAGTGAAACCATCAGCATTAGTAAAGTTGCACCACATCCATCAAAATAATGTCATGCTTCTTTGAAGATGATTGATAATATTGACGTTTTTCAGCAGGTTACAAGCAGCATGTATAGCATGCTTCAATAAAGTCAGAATGCAAACCAAGTTAGCTTTTCCTCAGGAACTGCTGATATAACACTTTTGCGTCATATTGAAGGACAATATGGATCCTCTTATTCATTTTATATGGAGTTAGTTATACACCACACAAATACTTCATTCTTAAATATTCAGGTCTCAACGCTATACTTTGCATTGAGATCCATAGTTTGAAAACCATTTCTGTGACATTTTGACAGCAGAACTCAGTGACATTCTATTACAGAGACTTTCCATCATTAATCATTTGATTGAAGTTAACTTATAAGGAGGTGGCATACATCAGCATCTCCTAACAGTTTAATGAAAATTGCAATCAAATTCCTAAACTTACCTTGCTCACCTGACTGAAATTACTAGTGTTAATAACAATTTATTTTACTAACAGATATGTCTTGTTGGACTTTATGTCCCTTTTTTGTTACAGTGCTCTAAAATTTAATTTTGCTCTCAATTTGGAAGAATTGGTTCCTTCCCTGTTCTAATGCAGTAGATTTAGAGGTGATAGATTTGATAGAATCACAATATTAGTACATAGAGCACCGGTATAAATATAGTGCATATAGTCTTTTTCTATCATTTTAATTTTAGACTTCTATTAGCTGCATGTTTTGAAGGGAGCAACTAGCTGTGTCTTGTAAGGGACAGTAAATATAACAGGAGGCAGTTCTGGAACGTATTTTCTGATTTAATGATTTCAAGCCTTCTGAGAATAAATCTGGAAGTCTTTATTTTCCCCAATAAAGTTCATGTCCACATTATGTTACAAAGCCTCATAAAATATTTTATTTTGCCACAATATCTTTTCAGATTTGTATCTGGTTTTGAATGTATTTTGAATGTATTTATGTCAGTTTTTGAATGTATGTGGAACTGTTTACATCATATGGAATTATTCTTCATTGTTTTATGTGCATTTCTTAGACTTAAAATGATGCCAATAGGTATTTTTACATACTTTTTCTCAGTGAGATTCTGGCTCCGTGACCTGGCTCTGTGAAATTTTAATTTATGTGGAATCTTAAATCTCTGTTTTCCTTTAAAGGACTCCACAATGTGGTGTGTCTAAAGCAAGATGAATTAATATATGTAGAAATGTAATTCTTACTATTTCATTAATTTTCAGATGATGTGGAGAAAATACACAAGTAAAATCAACTCCTCCTCCTGTTTCCAAGATTCAGAAAGAAGGTCAAGAAGATGGTTTTGTGAGTTGAAATCAAATTCCTCATAGCAGGAGAAATACTCCATCCATTGTTACTAGAGCCAGTAGCTATTCCTCACAGGGAGATAATTTAGCAAAGCAAGATCATGTCCAATAGGCATCTGAATGAGATGCTACAACATATGGTTTAATAGCTTAGTGGTAGTAATGGTGATAGGAGGATGGTTGGACTAGATGATCTTATAGGTCCTTTCCAACCTTGTGATTCTATGATTCAGTGATTCTGTGAAGACTGATAAAGTCAGGAGTTGGTTTTGGCACGTTTGTTATTTATGCAAATATTGAAATCGCTCATTAGATCAGACAGACAAACAACTTTGATTGTTGTGTTGTTATTGTTTTGTTTTTTTTTTTTCCTGCCATCAGAACTCCTCATTCTGTCTTTTCTGTTTTCCTACTAAGATTTTTTACAAACCAAATACTGCTCTATTTTTCCTTTTTAATGTAATAGTACCTAGAATGAATAACAACGTGGCCAAATGCAAATTGGAAGATCTCATTCACTGTGAGCCTTGATCCAGATAAATACTCCCATTTTGGGTATTAAATGGTCATACAGATAATTCTTAAATTGTTCTGGCACTATTATTCTTTCATTGCCCTTAAGCATTGGATTTTTCATTGTGCATGTGTTCTCAGAGTTTGGTGAACATATGCTGTCGAGACGTATGGAGATATCATGATGTGATTTTGCAAACTCTTTTCTCACTATTAATCATTTATAATTTCAAATACAGAAGTTACTATCCTCATCTCTCTTTGTTCTCTCCACCTTACTGTTGTACTGGAAGTTTTACTAATTAAAGATTTGAGATATAAATACTAAATTCTTTACTAATGTACTGAGCCTGGCTGGGATGAAGTTTATTTTTTCCAAAGCAGCCCATATAATGTTGTGTTCTGCACTTGTAGGTAGAACAGAATTGATATTGCACCAATATTTTGGCTAGTGCTGAGCTGTGCTGGAAATCATAAAGGCAATCTCCATCCCCCTCCAACACCAGTAAGCTGGCAGTTGACAAGAGATGGGGAGGGGACATTTCAAGGGCAGCTGAGGTAAACTAACCAAAAATATATTCCATTCTGCTGGTGTCATATTCAGTAACAAAAACTGGAAAAGGGGTCGTGGGACACTTGTTATGAATGCATCTTTCCTTCAGAACAAATACTATGCAATGAGACCTGGCTTGCCAAGATGTGGTTTCCTTGTGGTCAAGATGTGGCTTTCTCTGCTCCTTTGAAGGGGAGTGAAACAGCAGCTTAGTGGACTTTAGCAAGCCATCAATGTGAAACCACCACAACTTGCCTTTCACTCTTCAAGTTTGGAAGATAATGTACTGATAGCTTAAGCCGTGAACCTATCAGTTATATTGCTATGAATGGAGTCATGAGCAGCAAACCTAATTCCTAACAATTATTTTGAAGTTAATTTTATAATGTTGGAGAATTTTGTAAAGCTGAAGTGAGTTTTTGAATCCCTGAAACACAAATGCAGGAAAGAACTGATAATCACCTATCATGTTTACTTACTGGGAACTGAAGCAGTAGTAGTGGCAATTGGAAGTGCAGTTGGCTCTATATAATTGCTTTCATTACACTTTCCCTCTGTCAGGCTAATATCATCCAAGGCAATTTCACTTGGAGCAATCTTTGTAAAGGCATCAAATATAACCTGAAATTCATCAGAAATATATATATGTATATATATATATATAATGAATGAATGAAAGAAACACATTTTATCTTTCTGACATTTCATTTCCATTATAATCTGAGCTGGTGCTACACTCAGAGGTGGTTATGAGAGACAAGACAAGATTCCCAGCAACACAAATTCCTACCATGCAAACAGAATGAATCATTCTAAGGAATGCAGGAACTTTATATAAGTGATGAACATAATTTAGAACTATTCCATAATTTACATATAAATTAATGTAATTTTTGATACACAGCATTCAGTATCACTTACCAGTCCAAACCTTGTGATATAATGGCTTATCTACATAAAAAAACCTGCAATTTATCTGATGTTCATTACTGTGTTTTACTATATACGTATTTAAAGAGATCCTGCTATCAAGGCATTTGTGCAAAAGACATTTTTATGTCTTTAAAATATATGGTATAGGTATATAGTATATATAAGTAAAGTACTGTAACTGTTCTTGAGGTCCCAGAACACACATTTGCTAGAAATGTGATGCAGCCAGGTCACAGACATATTCATTTCCTCAGGCAGTGGATGCATCTTTCTGATAGTGTTTTTGCATTGATAAAATCTACTATAGCAAGATAAGCCATTAAAAAACCTATGGAATAAATTTGGAGCTGTGGATCATTCAGTTCATTTGGAACAAAATTGACATCAGTTAAAAAAAAACCTAAATAAATAAAAGTCTAAATGTTAAACAAACCTTAAAATCAGATGTTTCATTTAAAGTTACTTGTCCGTAAATCCAGTTTTTTCCATAGTTTCCTTCTTTCTGGAAAATTACCTTTTCAAGACCATATTCACTTCTTATGTTAACGCATAAACGGTAAATGTTAGGACTGTACATGTAATACCTACAGGGGTAAAAGCAAAGTTTTCTATTTTTAGAACAAAATGAAACTGTGGAGTAATATCTAACTTTTTAATGTTAAGAGTTCCATTTTTCTTGATTAAAACTGAAAGTTTTATCTCGTTTTTTTTTGCCACATTTTCCGTGGATACTTAAGCTTTGTGACAAAAACATTTCAGGAATTCTTAATATTTCTGTGTAGAAATGAATGCTGGGTATGGGGTGAAAAAGAGAATACATCAAAGCTAATTGCAAGACTCAAATCTATAATGGAGTAAAAGTTTCAGAAGTTAAGATTGGTCATAGCAGTCTAAAGAGATGTAGGCTATTACACTGACTTTAACTAATATATATGAAAGTAATTATTTGTTTTTATTCTTAAATGAATGATATGTATAGGATCCACATGTAATATACAGAGGTTACATAGCACTACCAAAAACTTAGACAAGATGGATCTGAGGGGATCAAAGGCAAACTTTGAAGTCGAACTCTTCCTCCTTCAACTCCAAGTCCTGAGGGTGTTGAAATATAGAATCCTGCAATATAATGAGCACATTTTAGAGAATACAGAACTTTCATTTTTCAAATGAGAGCAAGGTGTTGTTTTTATTTTTATTTTTTCTGTTTAAAAATAGTATTAATACTATCAAGCACAAATATTTCTAATGGATTGAAATATCCCTGACACAGTAGAAGTGAACAGTCAACAACATTAAAATGAGCTTTTAAGCTTGATGGATGGTCCTCAGAACTAAACATGAAATGAGAAACTAACCCTTCTAAACTCTGGGAGATCTGCATTTTCTTCAGTAAAGTCAGATATTAATTTATTTCTGCTTAGTTTATAAAGATGCCATCCTGTTTGGCACTGTGGATTTACAGAATTTCCTAAAGTGCCATAGCTTTTATCTACATAATAGTGTGAGATACAAGGTGTGTGTTGAGGAGTGAGGGAGTGACTATGTGAACACTGTGTAGCATGAGGAACATCATAAAAAAGAAAGATATCTTATTTGGAGATTTTTTTTTAACCTTTCTGAATTTATTCTTTGCAGCTGGGAATTTGAACTTTCTGCTGCAATATGGAAATATAATACAAGGCCAGGGTACAGAAGCATTGTGTTTTATCACAGAAAAGTGAAAAAGTAGACGGAGAAAAAGTCCTAAGATAAGACTTTTGCCTTATTGAAATCTTGACTGTAATTTCAGATTTTATTCTCTCTATCTGCATATCTAGCTAATTCCTATATATGCAAATATTACATAGAATTTAAAAATAATTATAATTAATGTACATTATACCACATTTTTATTTATACCTCCAGACTACCTAGAAGATTCAAGTACACAAGCACACAAAATAGTGTGAAATATCAATAAATTCCTGAGTTGCTTTAGAAAATCATATATCAAAAAATAAATGATATCCAGATTTAGAAAATAAGAGTGACATTCTTATTTAGAAAATGTCTTTATATAGCCAAAACGAAAGTCCTCTGTCTTTATATCATCAATTTTCTGAGCATTCTGATTCAATTTAGGAAAACTTGTCCAGTAATGAATGATGTTTTCCATTAGCACTTCTGCTGTTAGAATGTTCGTTACATTGGATATATAATTTTTAATGAATATACTGACGTGTAACACAATCAGATGTAAACAAAAAGTGAAATGAGGCTTAAGCATAATCTAATCAAAATAAATAATTTCTAATGGAGGTCAGAAGTATTACAATGGTTTGGTTTTGAGGCTTGTTAATATGTTTTAATTCTTCTGCTTGCAGCAAAAGAAATAGAGCAGCAAAACAAACGTACACTGTCTACATAATATCTAGATGTTAACACTGTAGTTTATGCTTTTATTTCAATTAGAAATATTAGAAATATTAACATTCAAAATAAAAATAACATTACATATAGTAACATTCTATACATCAGTTTAGACCTATGAAAGTGAAAGAGAAAACATCTAGAATATGTTAGCATTTTCAAGACAGCTGGAAATTATTGTCAAGTGTCTCAGGAAGTAAATATTACATTCTCTCATTTGATATGTACTATAGGAGTTGAGCAGGAAAACAGTGAATTATTTAGAAAATGTTCATTTACTCAGAAAGAGGAATAATTTGTATACAATAACATGCTGAATTATATTTTTCTTATCCTCTGAGTAACTTTTGCCAGAGTAATCTGCAATTTTTCCAGATACTTGTCACTGTATAATTTATTTGTCACTGTATAATTTATTTATCATGAATAGCACACATATGGTCATTGTGAAATCCAGATTACATTAATTACTTTTAATTGGGCTGATCAATCAGCTGATACAGATTGTTTGGTTTTCCTTCTGAACTAGAAAAACTTCTGGATTCAATTTCAGAAAAGCACCCATTGTATGCATTCAAACTCTGATTCCTAACAGTATTGTCTCCGTAATTAAAATCCATACATGATATGATCACTCTTCTGATCAAGATATTTTCCTATAGATGTTCCTGGAGTTTATTGTGCATGTGTGTGTTGAAAATTAGTGCGTCTGATGTGATGTTATAACTAGGAAAACAGAAGACATATATACCACTCAGGTCAACATTTTAAAATAAAAATTATTCTATGACTGTCATGATGTAGACACAGATGAAAAAGAAGTAGTTTTGGAAAAAAAAAAAAAAAAACATTAATAATTTTTCTTTCCTTTAAGGTAAAGAAGGAATTTTTTTTTTTTACCTAAAACGCTACTGTATAATATATCTTTCCTAGACTTTGAACCGTGTTAAAATTCCTTGATACCTCATACCTTAATCACTTCATATATTCCATTTATTTCTAGTTTTGGTATACTTACACAAGATGAAAATGAGTTTTGTCTGATAGCTCTGAATAATTTTTATGGCAGAATAAAATTGCATCCTCTCTACAGAAAACAGCTTAGACTTATACAGCATAAGCTAAAATAAGCTTTTCCTTTAATATAAAGGCAATTTGTATGTTACCTTACCTGACTCATTGCCAAATGTATGATCAAAATCAGGACCACTCAAAAAGGGAAAGGTAGGGCCCTGATATCTTTCCCAGTCTAAATCATCATCTAAATCTTGTATCCAGTAACAAAAGCCATCTTCAAAAGTGCAACTGACTTTCTCAAAATCTGTTAACAAGAACATCTAGTAAATAAAAGTGACAAATAGATTAAATATTTTCTCAGATTTACAAAAATGACAAAGTTTAAATTTTCAAATGCATTTGAAAATTGAAGCCTATGGTGACTCTCTTCTAAGAAACATGATTACTCACTGAAATGTGTATTTTTTTATTGTCAACAATTCATTGTTGCTGAAGGTGGCCTGAAGGTTGCACTCCTTTACCAAACTTCTTTCCTGATCATTTGCCAATAAGTGGTGGATGAACAAGAAAGGAGACCTGCATAGCAGACCCTAAGGACTAGCCTCCCTCTTAGCCACAGTTCAGGCTGCTCCAGCTGAAAGGGCTTCCTATCAGAGCCACCAACTATAAGCTCAATATATAAATGCTGTGCTTCATGCACCAGGAATTTTCCTTTCTTTGTTCTCTTCTCCTTCTTTGATCATACAGATTCGCTGTGACATCGCTTTTCTTCCCACAATTTGTCCTGTGTCTTTTCGTGGTGTCTTGAATTTCAAATTAGCCCACATGACAAGAATTTAGTGACATTTTGGACGTTTCTTCTGCAGCATACCCCTTTCTAGTCACATTCCCTATTCATTTCTGCTCAAAATTTAGCAGCCTGAAGCAATCTTCACTTGCAAAATCTGCATCTAAGTTTTTTAACAACTGCTAAGGTACATCAGAGCATGAGTTGTATTGCTGGATTTTATCACTGAAGACTTGTTACATCTGGATCCCTATATCTATTCACGGAAGCAGTGTTTTCCTTAATGGTTGTTTTACCACTTGGAGCTGCTATTTGTGGCAATGAGACAGGACATGAGAAACTCTGGAGAACAGGTATTGCCTAGAGATAACAAAGTAATGATTAGCAGCAGGGATTATACTGTGTTTGTTAGTGAACAAACTTGCTGAAAAGAATCTCAAGGAAATACAGCCATTGTTTTATTCTTTTATTTTAACAGCACAAGCACTGTAAGTCAACTCCCTATTGCTAGATCCAGCCTGTATGACTGTAGACAGGCATTTTGAAATCAATGATATGGTCTGTAAAAAAAGATGAAATTTCCCAGTGTGGGCCAAGGTAGAGGATTGAGGCTAGAAAATACTGCTTCTCTTTCCATTTCCATTTTATAAAATGAAACATATAGTCTCATCAAGCATTGCAGACTACCGCAACTACAACAATAGCAAAAAAGAACACTTACTTTTTAGTTCACTTGCATTAAAAGCAGTGTATGTTGCATTAAAGCCATTGTAGTTTACAGAATAATCAGATGTAAACCTGGCTGTAACCTCATGAGAAAAAATGTGAACTGTCTCAGGATTAGACCCTGAGAGAGAAGCTGAAAACAAACAGAGAGTAAATTAATCAGTAAAAAAAAAAATCCCATGTATAATGAAATCCCTAGCACTGTTTTAAGAAATAATATATTAAAAAGTTCTTTTGAATTTTAAATAATACTCTCTCTTGCATTGTGATCTGTCTATGAGACCTTCAAAATCCTGAAGCCATTTAGTCATTTGGCTAAATATAATTATTCTGCGTTTCCCATCTCACATATCTCCCAATGTGGATATCATCAGCTAGTGCAGAATCATTGCCTATATTACAGTGTGATTATATTTTTATTTTGTTATACAATATCCATATATTAAAATCTAAAATCTTCATATACATGCTTTTTATGCTGCAGATTTTTTCAATGTACAGATATGCACTCTGAAACTCTGTAATAACAACACTGAATATATATATTTGTTATATAAACTTTCTCTCATGGTTTAATAATTAGTACATATGCTTACAGACATTCGAATTTTGAAATTAACGTAAAATTATTTTATTTATTTAAATGTAGAGTCTACTGGAGATGTACCTTTTAACTGCAATGTTTTACAAAACCAACTGAAGGACAATCTTTAAGTTTATATCATTGCACTATTACCAGACACGCTCACAGCAGCCTTAAAAAATGTTAATGGCAAGTTAATGGTTGCTGCAAACTGTACTACTGAAGCAATCTCTCTCACAGAAATTTAAATTCCAAAGTGGATTTATATTCAGAGCAGTAGAAGGAGTGGAGTTTCTGTACTCTGTATTCCATGTCTTTCACTACTTTACAGTCCCATTCCCTCCCTGCTTCCAAAAATATGAATACATATTAAAGATCTTTCTGACTTAGAAAGATTTCGGATCTAGATATTTATCTTCACGTACATGTATTCCACCTATGGTGGAATTCATCTGGATAAACTGAGTCTAGTGAAAAATGGGCAGAAACCTATTTTTTCAAAATAGAATATAGAGAGAAACTAGTTATCTGTCTTCAGTATCTTCTCCATTTCCAGGTCTGAGTCAATAATGCCACACATATAATAATTTGCAGAGTACCAAGTACTCATCCTATCAGCTTCAGTTTAGATCACTTATTTTAATGTCACTATGGATGACATTAAAGGATCATGGCAATAGTCAAGGTATTTTCATTGCCCAGATAAGGCCTTTAAAAAATTGTGTTTTCTTACATGTTAGGCCTACATTTATCTGTCCACTGCATAAGAATGGTTCAGTATATTGATACAAACTTCAAAAGGAAAACTCTACACAGATTCATTTTTTCAACATACTTTAAACATACAAATGCATTCTTTTTCAGTTTAGAATCTTTTACTACATGAATTCAGTTAACGGGAAAGTAATATTAGCTGAAAAATAACTTTACCTCTTAAAGTCTTGTTTTGTCCTATACCTTCAAAAATGTTTAAATTGTCCATAAACTCCTCTGTATCAAAAGAAGTGAAGTTCACCTTAATGGATAATCCTTGAGGCACTCTAAGATGAAAACAGAAATGTAAAGCAGAAAAGATAAAAATTTAAAAAAATATACTGTAACAAATTTATTGTATGCTTGAATAACAATCAGTTCAGAACCCAAGTGAAATAATGTCAACCAAGATGATTAATTAACATTAGCAATTTGGCTAACTCCTAGTTTGTAGAATTGCAGATGTAATAGGGCATTGACCTTTTGTAAAAGTAGAGGTATTCCTGAACTCACTGGAGCCAAGAATATTTTAGGAACTGAATCTTTTAAAAATTGAGAATATGATATTCAGTTGGACAGCCATTTTTTCTCTGTGGTTCATTAATTCTAAATCACTTTTGAATACATTACTGATAAATAGTATCTAGCTGCTCAGGCAGAATTCTCTAAGTCAGAAAAGTAGTGTGATGCTATCAATATGAATAGCAAGAGATCAAAATCTTTCAAAAGAGACAGATGTCAATCCTTCTTGAAAATCCTCTTTTATTATGAGGTCTTTTATTAAAATGCCTCTTTAAATTTACATGAAGAGTTGAGACCTCAAAAACATTGTTTGAGAATATGTTATCAAATCTAATAATCACCCAGTAATTTTAATAGCATTTATAATACTAGTAATTTAGTAGCATTTATTTCAATAAAAGTGTAAAAATTGCTGTATTTTGTTTTTACTGAAATTATATTCATTTAGTAACCTATAATTAAATAGATATATTTGTGGTAGTACAAATTCCAAAGCAGTGCTATCATGCTATCACAACCAGCTTCTTATATCATCCTTTGTTGTTTTTGGAATTGAAAGAGCCAATAAAGATTTTTTTTCTTTTTAACAGCAATCTGCTGGAACTTATCAATACTGATTAGTAGAGAAGTGTGATCATTTTTTTTAATTTTTTTTTTAAAATGTTTATCCACTGGTAAACAATTATCATTTGTTTTAAAACGGTAAAACATTTTGTTGAAAGTTCAAGAGGAGCTAATCTTTTAGGTAAATATTGAACATACTGCTCTTACTTTTGAAAGGAGAAGAAATTGCTTCTTCATGGAAAGATTAGAGGGGTGGAACTGTAAAATCAACACAATCTTTTGCTTTTCTTATAACACACTATATATTAAAATCTCTGTGGTGTAAGTATTGGTGAATGGAAGGAGCAACTGTATCAAACAAGAAAAATGATGACTTATTCCAGAAGTGTAAAGGTGAAGATTCTGAATGAACTCAAAGAGTAGAGCTCTCAAAGGAGTCTTTGGAAGGAAGAATTTCAAATCTTATTCAATTTTCAAAATATTTCCTTAATCTGTTTTAAAACTTTTTTTTTTACAAAACTAATACTTCTCAATATCAAAGAATGGCTGTTATTATAAAGCCATCATCATAATCACTGTCTCTCAATTCAGTAACTTCTGAACTGACAATCATTCTGTGGATTTTAGAAGCTTCAAACTTCTAATCACCTGTCTTATTTTAGGTGTATACTTTAGGATGAGATTTATCACGTACTATAGCTATCTTTGTTCTTCCTAGGCAATAAAGAGAACCTAGAATATCATAGTCAAGTAGCTGTCCATCCCTATAGGTGTGTATGCTTGGTTAAACAAATTTTACCTCCTTTGCTGAGAACTTTTGTTCTGTTATCTGATGCTATTCAGTCATATGTCTGATGCTATTCAGTCATATGCGTAATTTTAAAATATTTCTAAATGAATTAGGACCTTAAATACTAATAATTTCAAATTGAACTTTGTATCCCTAAATGATGGGAATTCTTGAATTCTCCGCTTTTTAAAAATAGTGATGTCTTATAAAGTTAGTAACTAAAGGCTACTATATACTATATGTATTGCAATTATTTTGAGTTGTATGATTTATTGTAAGCTTACAAATACATTCTTGTACATACATGCAGCACAACTGATTTATCAAAATCATATACCACAACTATCATTATTAGTGTCAGTTTGGGGTCTGCAAGTTTTTAAAGAAATACAAAGGAGAAAATGCTATTTCGTATTTTCCATGCTATGATATTTGAGAATACAAACAAATGACAGAGGGTTGATGTACAGGAAACAATATAACCTCATAATTGAACAAATGTTAAGTAGAAAATCATCAGAAAATGCCTTACAGTATAATCCACTGGCAAACAATATTTGCATTATATGGTTTTGGATAATTCATAGAGTGAAAAGACCCAGAGGAATCAGTCAGCATGAATTTTCCATCACAAATCGCAGCTGTAAAAATATAATGAAGAACATTTGTCAAAATGCCATTTGAAAAATGGAAGCAGTGTCAAAGTGATAGCGACCTTAAATATTAGTTTGCAACTATTACCTAGAAAATACCTTGTAAGCAAGAATGGAATGATAAACTAAAACACATTACCATCCCACTCCCATTTTGAATTCCAGTGATTATTTAATCTCAAAATACTACAATATTACAGACAATTTAATTTTTATGTTAGAGACAATGCAACTAATCCAAACTAGTCTAAATCAATCAGTCTAATTAAACATCTGATTAATTCAACTGTCTTTCATTTTGCTTTTTACATTATTAAAAAATTTCCTCTTAGTATTTCTTATCTACTGCTATTTTAAATGAGGAAAATATGCCTGGAAACAATCTGATATCATGTTAATGATGTCAAGAAGGGATATGGCTGACATTGCTTTCTCTACTTTTATGAGCTCCCTGGTTCCTTACCTTACATTTTACTAATTACTCAAAGAGCTAAGTGGATATTCTGTATCCTTTCAGCTATCAAGTCTAAGCCAAACCTCCTTCATTATGATGTAATTTTCAAGATGTTTGTATTAGTTTTATTTTCTTGGTCTTGCAATTTCATTTTATGCATGCTCAGTTTAAAAATCAATTAGTTAAAAAAAAATCATATTTTTAAGCTTCCACAAGACTAAAAATGTTAATTAATGTAGAGTTTTTTCATTTCTGAAGACATTGAAGCACTGTTGAAACCTTTGTTGCATCTCATTGAACGTGATGCAAAGATTCTGAGGATGGTTTTCCTTCAGTTTTTAGGAAAGCATCATATTTTCAAATAATGCTATAATCAATACATGATTAGCTGAAGAGGTAAATGACAAGTTCATCAATTTGAGACTGATAACCAGAATTAGATACAGCTTTTCATTAACGTCAGAAGTGAAATCATATCCATAATGACTATTCAAATTATGAATGATCAATCATATTGAAAATTAAATGGAAATTTTACTGACCATAGTTCTCCTCTGGGAAATGATTACATAAAATGATAAATTAGTACTCCTTGCCAGTTCATTTGATAAGTGTAAAATTCTTTCTGACTATCACTGCAAACATAACATAAAAATCAGGCTTTTTTTCTGTCAGGTTCAGTCATACTGTGTTAATAAAGGCTGTGTAGAATGAATTTCACTAACAATTACAGGACTCAAGAATAAGCTGGAATAGAAACTTGTTAGCATGTTCCATTTTGCAACTCTCATGGTCTTTGGGAGGAAGCCAGACCATGTATGGTTTTAAATACTACATGGAGAAAGTAGGTCTATGAAAGAGACTTACTATTCTATACAATCTTCTAATCAGGTTAGTTTTGGAGCAGGCATAGAATGAATTTTTCTGTCCCTTTGAATATGTATATTCCCTGTTTTCACTAATGTGTTAAAATTTACAACTATTTTTTTTTTACTTAATGGACAGAGAAAATACTATGGATATCTTTCCAAAGTCAGTATTAATAAAATATTCGGAAATAGTAGAGGAAAAGAAGAAATCATTAACAAAGATATTTAATGGAGACATTTAAAAATATAAATCCACAAGCTTAGTTTTCAGTTTGAGCAGAATGAAACTTTGGCTATACTTGTGGGATGAATTTCAGGTGTCAACACGCTTAATTGCACATGCAATCACCAAATGGAAACCAACAGGTATGAGGAACACAGGAAAAGGACTGGAAAAAATAGCAGATACCATGAATGAAGAAAGGGAAAGGCAGTGCAAGATAGTAGATACAAGTAGTAACAAATAATGTGATATAGAATTCCCTATTTGATGCCATTATTAGTGTAAGAAGAGTAAAATTAGTGTAAGAAGAAGAAGAAAAGTGCCTAGCTCTGAGGTGTGAAGTATGAAAAACAGCAGTACTGTTAACAAATGGCTAGCAAGACGCATGCTAACCTAAAAAGGGTTTTTTAGTACGTGCAATAATAATTAAAACCTCTAACATACTGTTTTTATAAAAATAGTGACTATTTTGCTCTTTTCAATAATTACTTGCTGTTCTTGGTTTTTTTTCCTGTTTCTTCTTACCTCCTAAGAGATATTGAATAACCTGAAACAGGACAAAGAGATAAAGACAAAAGCTCTTAAGGTGCTCTCCACTGTCTAGGAATAGTAAATGCTTGATATCTTAGGAATGACCTGGAAGGTGACTGGAAGCCATCAGTATGCTCCTAGCAGTTCCACATCTCAGGGTAGAGACTAGCAGAGTAACAAACAAGTACAGTTTTTCTTTTTCCTGGAGCTCTCAGAGAAGCCTCAGCTGTTCTCCTAACGAGACAGGAGACATCTCTTATAGGCATCACTTTCACTGCTTCCCTACATGTCTCTGTCCATTTTTGTTTATTCATGTGGTATACAGGGAGTATTAAGAAGGCTTAATCCTGTTATTCCTGCATTCCATGGAGAAGCTCCCTGAACTGGTCAGATCAAGTCCACAAATTTCATTTGATAGGCTCTTTCTCTGCCAAGGGCAACATATTTCTTCTTGGCTTTCGTATGATTGATCACTCTCAGTACTCTAGTAATGTTGTGAGGTAGGTGATCACAAAATGTTAGCCTAGACATATAATAATTGAGATGAGAGTCTGCAAAGTGAAACAGCTCCTGGGCTCAAGCTCCAATCTCCTTTTCCTTCTACTCATGTGCTACATGGCTGCTTTTCGTCATTGCAAGCTATTATTAATAGATGCTGTTCAGACTTCTGCATTTCTCTAGAGACCCTTTCACTGAAATTGCTAACTGTACTTTTGCAATGGCCTTTTGTTACTGCACTCCATTGCAGAACCAGAGAGAAACTTTTCAAGATAATTTTTATCAATAAAAGCAAACAATGAAGGTGTTCATTTTCTGAGAATGTTAGACTTTCCTGAATTCTGTTTAATGCACAAGAAGACTATTAAATATTCCACGCATATCCTATATTTTAATACTACAAATGTACTATAAACTCACAAGTACTCAACAAAGCTAATCACCCTAGAAAAACAAACTGAGTTGTTTAAAGGGTGGCAACTCCATTGTGTGAAAGAACAAGAAGAATTACCTTCCAGCTATAAAGCTCACTGTAAGACACTGACATATTTCTGAAAATCTAGACAATTTTACCACATTGCAGCCTTCAGGACACTACTGAACCATGTATACATAACTTTGACTGCAAGTGGATGAATATCAATGTATGAGTATCAATTAAATTCTCATCAATAACAGGTAGGGTTGTAATAAATTTCATAAAATATAAGTAAAACTTATAAATTTGAATCTAATTATTCAAAGTAGCAAAAAAGATTTTTATGAGATATATATTGCTAATTATTAACTATTATAAGACCTTCACTTTGTTATTTAGCTGTGTCCACAATAAAAACATAACTCACCAAAACCAAAATCCCACATCTCAGAACAACAGTGAAAAAATAGAAATGAATTACTGAATAATTCTTTGGTGTTGTGCTGCCCCAAACCCTGCAGTAGCTACTTTAGGATCTTCAGCTTTCCCCAATGTAGAGTGATCTTGCATCTGATCATGCAGCTGTGGATGTAGCTATTAAGATAGAGATTTTGATGTGTTTCAATGGATACACTAAGTATATTGAAAGATAGTTCCCCCAAAGTTCTGACTAGATCTCCCTTCTCAGCTGGCTGCAGTCAAAAAAATGTAAGTAACAAGCAGGTCTGCAATTAGCATTTTGGTGTGAAGAAGATTCCACTTCTGACAGGAGTCGTATAAAAGTTATTAAAAATATCAATCTTTTGTTTACTTCTTTGTTTTTAAACCAGAGTTCAGCAATTCACATATTTCTGAATATTTAGGCCAGACTGACTTCATCACCCAGGAGAGCTCAGAAATATGTTTTCACAACAGAATTGAAATAAGTTTTCCTGACTCCTCTAGTACAAAATTATATTTTCTAAAAAACACCTCAGGGAGCTAATTGCTCCAGCATCTCCCAGAACATTAAAAAGTTTTCTTTGCAAGAAAATACTAGAGGTAAGACTGTGAAAAGCAACAAAGACATTAGCAAGTGTACCTCCCCATCAAAAAGCTGCATTTTGGTACACAGTAACAGATTCCTTGGTACAATTTGACAGTATTCACTGCTAAATGGAGCACTGCCAATTCTGCACAAAAAAAAAAAAAAAAAAAAAAAAAAAAAAGGCTCAGGGAAATTAGGTAAGGGTGAAGGATGTAATTTTTTTGGTTGTAAGATTTTCACAGAATCTTAGATCAGTTGAGATTGGATGGATGAACCTTGTCCAACATCATGCTCATGCAGGATCACCTAGAGCTGTCTGCTGAAATGTTCACTTTATAGAATCATAGAATCACCAAAGCTGGAAAAGACCTCTAAGATTATGTAGCCCAAATGTCTGCCTACCACCACTATTGCCCACTAAACCATGTCCCTCAGTACTATATCTACATGGTTCTTGAGCACCTCAGGGACAGTGATTCCAACACTTCCCTGGGCAGCCTCTTCCAATGCACTACCACTCTTTTAGAGAAGAAATTTTTCTTAATGCCCAACCTGAACATCCTCTGGCACAACTTGAGGCCTGTTGTCTTATTGCTATCATCTAGTAGAAGAGTTCAACTCCCACCTGGATACAATCTCCTTTTATTGAGTTTTAGAGACTCATAAGGTCTCCCCTGAGTCTCCTCTTCTCCAGACTAAACAATCCCAGATCCCTCAGCAGCTCCCCATAAGAATTGTGCACCAAAACCTTCACCAGCTTTGTTGCCTTTCTATGGACATGGTACAAATCATCATTGTGCATTTCTAATTGTGGTTAGCAACTTAATATTTTTCTAGACCCATTTCCTAGCACTCAATGTAACAAGATGGAAATAGATTGCCAACAAAGGGTGCCATGATGTGAGTCACTCTCAACCATTCCGCCCACAAGATGTTGCCACAGGACACCCCTATCACACCAACTAAGCCTGAGAATGGAGGGAGGCAGGAGGGAGGTGGCGGCACTTCATATGAGATACAGACTCACAGAATGCAACTTTTCTGATAGAGCAGTAACCAAACTTTCAAGGAGGTGGCCAATTGATCTAAATTTCTTACCACTAAAATGAAAAAAATTCATCTCCATTCAGTATGAACGGTTTTAAGTTCTATGAATCCTTAGCTGTGTATAATCATTTCAGAGAGGGCAAATTTCAACTGTTTTAATTTACTTTATAATTTTACCAAAAATACATTAAAATAAGAAAAACAAATCTAAATAAAAAGTAAATTCAAGATATCATTAGTTTAGAGAGTACACTGTTAGTTGAAGCATAAGAGATTTTACCAGGAAAAGCCACACAGATGTTTTATAGCTAATGTTACTGTAGAAACTTTACAATGGGATCGGGCATATCAGCTTAGTTCTTGCCTCATTTTTCTATGCACAAAGCCAAAACCAATTATCTGGTGACAGAGAGAAGATCAGCAAGGAGAATACATTGTTTTTAATGAAAAGCATAGTGAAATAAAACATCACTGAACCAGAGCGTATCTAGTATATTATGAAAATCTGTTTGTAGTATTTTTTATGATGATATTTTTAATGATGGAATCAAAAGATAAACCTGTCTTCTAATGCTAAATATGACAGTAAGTAACTTCTGATACTGGATAATGTGATTTAACATTTGTTTTTGGAAAGAACATAGTTGGTATTTCTAGTACACAACTTCACATGAGATTTTGACATTGTTTTATATTTTCTATTATATTTATTTCTATTTCTATTAATTTATTTATAGTTATTAATACATATATTAAACACCATCTTCTATATCATTTTGTATTAATGTAGATGCCTTGTGTTATTTTCTTCTTATATATTGAGCACATTATTTATCAATAAAAATTTTAAATGAAATTGCATTTACAAGATAAGGGTTATAACACTTAGATATTGTTGCTAGTATTTTTAGCAGAGTTAATGAAGCTACTTGCTTATGAAGTACTTAAAAAATACTGACAGTTTTAAGTATGCTCAGAAATACTGCTTTAAATAGATTTACATTCTTACCACATCTTTTTTCAGATTCATCTGAACCATCTGGGCAGTCCAAGATTCCATCACAAAATAAATCCTTTCCAATGCAGGTTACTCCATCATCACAAATTTCAGCAGGCGGCAAGCACTCAACTGAAATAGAAAGCAAAACAGCAGTAACAATAAAGCAGCAATGCAGTTTTACTACAATGGAAAATTGACTTACTTTTGGCTACTCTAGCACAAATCAAACCAACCACTCTATTGTGTTTCATAAAACGGCATTTTTAGAAGCCAGGAATGAAATATTGCATACTAAAAAGGAATGTTTAGCACAGAGTAGAGAATGGTATGAGAAGTGGCGTATTTTTAAAAATTATGTTTGAAGCAGGGCTAGAAGAAAATTTCCATGAATTCCCATCTCCTTCATCTACTTAAATAAACTATTTTATGCAATATACTGAATACATTTTCAAATTCATTATTTCTTTGTAATTTGATTAAGTAAATGCATTTTTTATATAAATGTATGTAAAAGTAACAAGGACTGGAAATTTTTTTTGATGTATGGTAATGTTTCAGACTGATTTACAAATAAAAACTTTCAGTGTTAGCAGCAAAAAGCAAAAGAGTTGCCATTTTGAATCCAATCGGTAACCAAAACTGCATCAGTCAAGTGATGGAGGTGTTAGTGTCAATAAATTAATTGCCATGGATGAGTAAAGATGAGACTGCATTCTAGACAGAAAAACAAAACCTTATCAATAATCTAGGAATATGCTTTGCCCAATACAGAAGAAAACACTGTTTACATATGACATGATCCACTCTAGATTAGTTCTTCAAATCATAAAACTAAACAGCATTGCCATCTACTGGATATAAATAAATTAACATTTTCTAGTGAAACATTTTGGCTTCTTTTGGAAACAGTAAATTATCCTTAATTGCAATATGACTGCTGAAGTCAACTTAGAAATGGCAGTAAATAAATAAGACCCATTTAAAAATGCTTATAAATGTCATATATATTTCACCATTTTATGAGATTTTATGAGGGAAAGTTTTCAACAATTCAAACAGGTTTGGCTTTCTATCCATCAGAATTACTGTGAGAGTTTGTTACCAGTTAAGAATTTCCTTTAAACCCTAAGAAATAATATGCATCAAAAATGAACAGTCAGTATGGGTATCAATATACATATATCAGCATTTGTATAACTCATGAAGCATTTGTGTAGAATGTACAGTCTCTTTGAAGAGGCCTCTCTTGTCAAATCAAAGGTAAATCTGCATATTGTGTACTTGCAGAAATGGAATACAAGAAATAATATGAAAACAAGATATACAAAAACAGTGTAACCCTAAGATCCCAGACTGTTTCATATAATTGCCCTGCTTCTTCCCATACAGAGTTACCTACCTGAAGTTATAGCAGCCTTGCTTGTTGTGAGTTGTTCTGAACCTGCATAAACACAACCCTGCATTAGAACTTTACTTCTTAGTCTCTGAAAGTACCCCTACAGTTGTTTGGGCATTACTAAGAAGCTACTGATCTGCTGTTATGAGATCTGCATTATTCACTGCATCTTGAAACCCCAGCTCAGGTAATGTAACTCCAGTTTAAGTGATTTGAATCTGATTGTCAAATGTCAAAATAAATTTAAGAGAAATACATGGAAACCAAAATTATTGTAAATTACATTCTTTTATTCTTAGTCTCATGCATTTTCAATAACTTCAAAATGCTTTTAAAAAATTTATTAAAAGAATCATAGAACATACAACAATAATGATTTCTTGTCTTCTCTTTCCCTTCCCTTTTCTGATTGGGGTTGATGCCAGAGAACAGACAGACTCACAGGATTTGTTGAATAAAAGAGAAGTTATGAGAATTTCAAATTACTACTAAACATATAAGTACTTCTTCATATAAATAACATTGCCCAACAAATTAGTGGTCACAGTATAAGGAGACTCAAATCTGTGTAGTTGCATATTTACATACTGGCATATTTACATATATGTGTTTTTACGTATTTACAAATAATCAAATGCCTAGGTACTTGAGTAGACTTACATTAGTGATAGTAAATTGGAAAAAAATCTGTTTCATACTTTCTTATGATTGCTCCACATACCTTTCCACAAGAGATTTTTTTTAATAACAATCTTCATCTTATTGAGGATGTCCCTGGACATTCTCAGTTCCTACTTTCTCCTTTTTTCCTCTTTAAAATTGTATTAGCATGCCTCTGTACTTTTTTACTTATATCAACACTTAAATATGTGTCATTACAGTCAATGACCCTTTCAGTTTATGAGATGACAGACTAGAAGAAATAAAGTGGGAAATGTAGTAAAGTCTTCTTTATAGTTTATCATCTATCACTTTTGCTGTTAGTAGTTGCTGATCACTAGAGTCAGAGACAGTTAACTTTTGTTAGATGTTCTTACTCAAACTTACTGGTGCACAAACTTGCATGAGGATTTGCTAATAATTTTCTATCAAATCATGTTGATTTGGCAAACACTATTAAGCTAAGCTAAGTCATTTTGTAGTAAATGGACCATTCAGGTCCATTATATGCAGCAAATCTGAGGACAGAGTTCAAAGACAGAAGAGAGAGCAGAGAAAGTGCAGGGAGTGTGCAGCTGGATGGACTGTTTTCTCACAGCTCACTCAGCAGAGGACATTACTCATAGCTTCACAGTAGTTTGTGAAGTATTACATGCATACGTATCTACCTAATTTACTTCTTGTTGTCTCATTTAATGGATCATTATTTTGGGAGGAAATAACTGTTAAATAGATGCATGCATGAGTAGGCTGTTCTAATAAAACAAATCTCGAAGGTTGTAAAAATAGGGTTATTACAAGTGTTACTCCCAAATATGCACATATAAGTTGATGACAAAAGCCACAAAAGCAAAGGCATAGGACAGTGGCAGAGGCATTAGTAGTATAAATACAAATCATACATGCTCAGTTACTGAGCAGTTTCACTAACAGAATATGTGAGGTGGATAAAGTAGGCTTTAGGGTTAACAGAGAGAGTAAGCCCAAGTTCCAACAGATATACCATACTGCATATGGTAAAATGTGGACTTGGGACTAAGAAAGAACAAGGAAGCTAGTAGTATTAGCAAGCATATAAAAATAACTGGATTTGGGAGTTGGAATCAATGAGCCTTGTGGGTCTCTTCCAACTCAAGGTATTCTATGATTCTGCGATCTCACGGAGACCCAAAAAAAGAGGGAAGGAATCCATTCATGCCAGAAATACTATTGCAATTCCAGTTTAGGATGCCAGCAATTCCCTGCTCCCTTCCCCCTTCCTCCCCCTCACTCTCATTTTCTTCTTGCTATGGACTAGCAACACTGACCTTAGGACTCAAAGTGACGTTCAGATAGCAGGCCAGAGAAAGTGATAGCTAGGAGAAAATCTGTGTATTATCAGTTTTTAATGGTATCACTGGAAATAAAGAGTAGCAACTGTATACTTTGGACTATGTGCGTTAATAGGCCTATAAAAGGACTAACATTTATTTATTTATTTATTTATTTATTTATTTATTTATTTATTTATGAGTGTAATTAGGCTACTGATAAATAGTTGGCTCCTATATTTATAAGTCTATACATAACATATGTATCTTGACTTCATATTAATTGCACAATGTGCCTGATTTGGTACCACGATTCTGCTCTGGATAATTTATATGTGGCAACTTGTATGTATTATGTGTATCTGTATCTTGTGCTAAAAAGGACATATTATACTACTTGTCTCTCTGGCTTACTTTTGGTGGGTTTCTACTATGCAAGTTTGAGAGATGTGTCTGCCCTGTTCCCTATACTCACAAGTCTTCCAGTGATAGCAGAATTAAAATCTACTAACATTACTCAGTGTACTAGGAATCGTAGTATGTGAATCTATCTGTCTGAATCTATGAAAATGTCAGCATGTGGCTCAGATGGTTGACAGATTCAACTTTTGTTTTGATCCTCAGAATAAGCTCTTACAGCTTTTGTACAAATTCAGATTACTGGTGTCCCATATGGTCAAAAATGATGAAGAGTAGCTATCACTGAATGAACACTGACAATTCCCAAGTATAATCAAGGTGGCTTTTTAAACTAGACCAGCTGAACAGTAAGTCTATGTTTCTTCTGCTGTACAGATGCAAAAAATAGCTTCTGTTTCATGATGGATACTGACCTGATGAAGTTAAAGGCAGTATTGTAGTAGCAGGATTTTCAGCAACAACTGAAAGAAAGCAAGTTCATTATGAACTCCTTTTATAGTGCAATATCTATTTTTATACAAAATAGAAAGAAAACACAGTCAAAAATCCTCAAAAGCTGTGACTTTTTCTTATTTGTATCACTAACAGTATCCTGCTTCTCTATTTTTGACCATTTCTCATTATTTTCTCAGACTCTGACCTTCCAAAGGAGGAAAAGTCTCGTAATTCCCTTCTATCCTGAGTCTCTGTTTATTATCTCACATATAAAATGTCTTTATCTTGGAAATCTCTTGACTCTTTTATACCATGGAGCTTTTCAGAGCATCTGCATCATAAAGCAGTATTTATATCAGATAAATTAGTTAAAATTAATCTGGAATTGTTTGCAAGATAGAAAGTTACTCTTAGTCACTATGGAAATTCATTTGGAGCAAAACACAGATAAGTGTTATAGTTTGTTCCCTCTATGATATGAGATAGAAACAAAGTTTGTCTTGAAGAACATACTGAGACATTGAAAGCAAAAGTGCTATGTATACGTGGGATCGTTAGTTACAGTTGTTACTTTATTGCAGCACTCCTGATAGAATAGACAGATGACATCTCATGTGAAAAGAGACATTTTAATGATGCACATCAAGAAAAGTTTTACTGCTTCAAAATTCATCAACAGATATGTAATCTTTTAAAAAGCTCTTCATAATTTCGTTTGGAGGCATTTTTCAAGTATAATAAGCAATTGCTTTCCACAGTAACATGCAGCTATTTAGAACAAGTTCTTAAATGTGGTGCAGATAGTAAAAAGAAATAAAGATGTCAGGACTCTAAATTTAGCCTTTGAATAGCGGAAGTACTTTGCAAGAAATGCACCTTTTAGAACAGCGTAAGAAATGTTGCATAACAAATGTTTTACTCCTCTTAAGGCAATCAGTAGCTACTTGATAGTAGCTCCATCAGGTCTTCAAATATCAGCTAATCAACTTCTACTTCAAAGGATTCAAATTGTTTTTTATTATTATACTTAGTGAAGGCCTATTTTGAGTTTTACTGAAATTAAAAAAAAAAGATTCTCATCCATTTTGCTGGGCTTTTTCTTAGGTTTTGCCCAGTTTTCTAGTACTTGCTTAAAATCACTATATTTGAGTATTTCCAAAATTTGAAAACATCTAGTTTTTAAAGCCGCATCATTTGTTTCCCATTTACACTTTACCTAAGTATCAGAGGAATTTGATACTAAGGTATCCTTCTCCAGAAGTCACAGACTGTATTAGCTTGCTATTCTTTTTGACATCTTTTCAATAAATAAGTCCTCAGTCACTGCAAAGCTGAACCACTTTCCTTATTCTTGAGCAAAACAAATTGATAGTTGCATTTACTTATGAAACACAGTCCAGGCTTAATTGCATTAATCTGAGGGACAATGAAATTACAAGTGTTATGCTGCATAAAATAGATGCAGTTGGGTGCTTTTGACTGGGAAATCCCTACTTTTACCTTTATTTCTTCCACAGGGGACATACACTAAACTGATTCATACTTTCTGTTTGACAAAGTTCTTTCACCTGCTGATGGAGATGGAGTAATGGAGAACACCCATAAGCATAACAATCCTTCTGATGGTTGGAATCCAAAGTTTTCGCTCATATTAACAGCAGTTTTCAAGGATTTATATTAGCATTACCTGTGATTTGTATGCTGTTCACATCAATTTTCAAGGTCTGAGAAAGATCAGTTGCATTTGAGTTGATAACTGAAAGTAACTCATTCTTTATTTTCTCAGCTGTTATTCCCTGGGTAAGATAGAGGCCGAAGATCACAACAACACTAGCAATATAAAACAGAAAGTTAAGCAAGATAATGGAATCTTTGATTTGAGTTACTGATATTTTGACTACATTTAATTATAATAGGGGTTTCACTTGTAAACTTGTAGTATCATAAAGTGATGGCTGGTTAATATAAGGAAGGAAAAACTCTTAATTTTAGCTTAGAACATTAGAACATTGGAGAAACCATTTTCATCTCCCTTGCAACTCTTAGATCCATTGTAGGAGAGAAAAAGCAATAGCACTATTATTAATGCAATGAAAATGAATTGGAATAAACTGAAGAAGTAGGTTTATTCAGTACTTAACAGGTCTTCTAGTTTAATCTCAAAAATATTGATGGTGAACCTGAAGTTTTCACAATATAAAAATATAACACAAACTGGTCAATGCTGGATAGCAAACATCCTCTATGGATTATGCTTTCGCAAGGATCTGCTGTGTGATTACCTATATTTCCATAAGTAAACAATAATGGATATAACCATAGATATTTTGAAATCAGTGGTTGTACTTTATTTAACTTCTGTGAGGCCTGAATTTTATCCAGAATTTTGTTTATTTGCAGTCTCTTACTCCATCATTATATACAATATTTGTAGCTAGATTGAAGTATCTGATTGAAGTCAAAGTATGATGTGTGCTAAAGATATATATTTTTTCCATTTACTTAGATTTCAGTGTGGTTGTTTATTTTTATTCCTAAGTGTTTATAGTATCAAATTGAAACAGACTCAGCAGTGTTTTTTGATATGGCCTGCAGCTGTACTGCAGGATGGAGCAGTTTGCAGTGTAAGGAAAAACTCTCCTCTTTAATTTCTTGTTTCTCATAACCTGTAGGCCGTGCTGAGTAAACAAAAGCTTTTATTGCTTTCATTGTGACTCAAAAGAGTTTTAAAGGTCAAATAATAACAAGGTTGCCCAAAGGGATAAACACCTTTTTAATGGCAAGAGTCAACGTGAAAATCATTTTTGAAATAAACAGATGTTATTTCAAAGCAGAAATGAAGACAAATGTCTAGATTTCTATTGCATTTGATGAAAGGAAACAAGCTGTTCTTTGGCATAATTGATCTTCTCCTGAAAAGGCATCCAAATATAATAGATGTGAAAACCTTAAAAGTAACTTTTTTTCCCCTTTATTTATAATCAGTTTTGAGCAACTAGCTCAGATATGCTTCTATCTTCAGTGAACAATTTTGATAAGTCTAATTCTACACGCAGAAACAAAAGTTTGCTACTTGGATCCATCTTCACAGAGACAAAAGCCTGCATGTAGTGCCTACTTCTTTTCCCTTAGTATTATAAAATAGTATTATAAAATCCTTCATAAGGTTATCGTAGTCCATCTTTCCATGTAATTTGTTTTATAACGTCACTATTGATTCAAATCTGCTTCTGATTTTCAGCATAGATGCATTCATAGCTGGCAAATATCCTTATCCTATTAGTAAAATCCCTGTTTCCTGCTCATGTCTAACTGAAAATTGTTGTATGCAATTACCCTGTTTCAGATGTCTTCAAGATTTCATTACCTTCTTCAGGGTTCCTATAGGAAAAAAAGAAAAAAGCATATTATTCTCCTTGAGCTTATAATGTTTAATGCTGCGGATAGGATGCAAGTGTGTTCTGGAACTGTATAAAAGTGGATTATAGTGTTATATTTGCTGTGTACACTCAAGACCATGTGAAGAGTAGTGCAGGTTGAATTAATACCACAGAGTTCGCTGCATTTACTGAACTGTTTTGCCGGATAGCCTTCCGTAGGACAACAGAGATAACAGGATATTGAGAAGTGAAATTAAGCTACTCTTACTCTGCCTATACTATGGATTCTTTAGGACACACAAGATGCAGCTTTAAATGGTGCCAAGTGACAGCTTCACTTGCAAATTCCTTAAGTGATACGATTTAAATGGACCTGAGTCCATAGAGACATATTAGTATATTTCCATTCATCTCAGGTTATGCCAACAGAAAATCTCTTTCCTGAACTTTCTTCTAGATAGGAAGAACAGCAAACCTGCAAATTTACTTACTTGAACTGGAAAATTTCACATCTCTCAAATTTATTTCTCAGATCACTTGCTTGAAAGATTTCTTGTATCTGTACAAAAAAGGTAAATATTTAACCAATAAAATAATGAAAAATACACGAACTTGCACACTGCATTCATGGTTTTAATATATTTTCCCTCCTCACACCTCATATCAGCAAACTTTATTTGATGCTTCACTGATTTTCACAAAGAAAGAATATAATGGACATGAGGATGTTTGTCGACACTTGTCTAAACATGAGACAGCAGTGTGCCCAAGTTGCCAAGAAGGCCAATGGCAGTCTGGCTTGTATCTGAAGTAGTGTTGTCAGCTGGAGCAGGGAGATGATTGTCCCTCTGTATTCAGCTCTGGTGAGACCACACCTTGAGTATGCAATCAGTTTCATGCTCCTCAATACAAAAAGACATTGAGGCCCTGAAGTGTATTCAGAGAAGGGCAATCAAAGCTGGTGAGGGGTCTGGAGCACAAGTCTTGTAAGAAGCAGCCAAGGGAGCTGGGACTGTCTAGTCTGGAGAAGAAGACACCCATAGAAGACCTTATCACTAAAATGTCCCTGGAGATTGCGGTGAGGTGTCAGTTTGCCTCTTTTCCCATGCAACTAGAAATAGAACAAGAGGGAATGCCTCAAGTTGTGTCAGGGGAGGTTCACACTGGATATTAAGAAAAATTTCTTCTCAGAAGGAGTGGTCAGGATTTCGAACAGGCTGTCAGGGAGGCGGTGGAGTCACTATCCTTGGGGATATTCAAGAAATATTTAGATGTGGTACTAAGGGACATGATTTAGTGGAGGAATATTGATGGTAGGTGGATGGTTGGACTGAATGATCTTGAGTGTCTTTTCCAATCTTGGTGATTCTATGATTCTATGATGATTTCTGATCAAGCTTAAGATACTAAATGTCACAGTCTGGGGAAAGTAAAAATGCATTATCAACAGGTTATGTTAGGAAATTAATGTAGCTACCGCATACTCTTGGTTTAACCGGAGATAAATAGGTTCTTACCAGGTGTTCAACATCAAAAGCAAGGACTTTGAAGTCCCCTGATGATTTATCTTGCAAAGCAGGAGTGAATGATGTCCCAGAAATTATTTTAAATGTTCCTGTGTAGCCTTGGCTATTTCCAGCAGTTTGAGCTAGATTATTAAAAATATAATTAAATATTTATAAATAACATAATAATTATAATAATATAAAGAAATGTATTATATTTTATTCTATGCAGATCATAAAGATTATTTTTTAACCTGTTTTGCTTTGTATAAAGAGATTTTGCCAAGCGCTGATTTTTCATAAGTGTCAGATCATTTTTGACAAAAGTAATAACTGTAAACATATGAACACAATGTGCCCTTGGTTCTCATTACTTTTAGTTTCACACTAAATGCTGAACTTTCCAGCAGCAGTTTGAACAGTTAAAGGAGACAGTAGTATTACTGTGGGGGTGCCTGAGCACTAGAACAGATTGTCTGGAGAGGTTGTGGAATCTCTGTCCCTGAAGATATTGAAAACCCATCCGCACATGGCTCTGGGCAGACATCTCTAGGCAGCCCTGCTTGAGCAGGGTATTGGACTAGAGTGTCTTCAGAGATCCCTTTGAAGCTAAATCATTCCCTGATTCTGTGAATCTCTATAACATGTGAAACTATGTCTAATATAAGGAACAAAACCTGGAAATTCTCAGATAAGAGCTGAATTAATGTGACTGATAGAAAATACCTTTTGTTTATCAGCTATATTACCAGGGGTATTTTTAGAATGGGATTAATGGCATTAACATCCAAGAATGAATTTAAATAAAAGAGAAGCTAACTAAGAAGTACTGCAATAGACAATTCGTGATGGAGGAGCGTAAGCTGGTGACATATTTCCTAATATCAACCAGTAATTATATTACCTTAAGTCTTCTATTTGTCCTTATAACTGCATATCTATTTAAACAAATGTTTCTAAATAGTAGGTTTTTTTTTTTCCTTTCTAAGTAAATCATGTCATATATAATTTAAAAAATGTCTTAGAAATATTATTTATACATGATGAAACTAATGCTAGTGCATCTGCTGTAAGAAAGACACCTGGGAAGTTCAACATCTCCCTGGGGAGACCAGAACTGAACACGGCATTCCTGATGAAGTGCACAGTTAATATAAATCTAAAAAAAAATCTTTAAACTAAAATTTCAATTCCTTTTAAAAGTCATTCTGTGTAGATTTCTTAAATTTACTTTACTTCAAACATCAGTTGTGTGATTTCCTCACATTACGAGCATCAAGTAGATACTGAGAATTACTTTGTATAAACCTTATATAATTCTAGGAGCTGACTGTCTACTACAGAATCTCTCTCCTAACTGTATAGATCAACAACAACAACAAAAAGATATTTTTTCTTTTTCCCTTTTTTTAAGAAAAGAAGATTCAAAGGATTCTAGAGCACTTTAAAATTCTCCAGAGACTCCAATGGATTACGAATGTCTTCATGTGTCAAACAATACACATAGTGAAAAAGCAAACATTCATAGTTTGCAATATTATGTTCACTATTTGATGAATATGACTGAATAAACAAAGCTTTACAGTTTGGATTAAATTCCAAGGACTTCTCTTAAATTATTAGATGTGAAAATTCTCTCATTTCATCAGGCTTCAAGGCATGTGTCAGTGCTTTTATCTTGGCTTATTTTGTCTAGATCAATATCCAGAGAGGGAAGTGTAAAACAAACAAATAAAAACCAAGCCAAAACCATTAGAATTATAGGAAGAAATACAAAATATAATTACAGTGACAATGATACTGTCCTCAAAATCTGAAGTTTTACCGAGGATCTCCTGAATAAGTTGAATGTTGGTACTTACCTTGTTTTAACTCCTTGATTGTTAACCATGAAAGTGCAATCAGCCCCACACAAACACACATCAAAAGTGCAAGCAGAGAAACAAACAAAATTTCATAGTAACTGAGAGGAACGTATTTCTCACTAGATGATTTTCTCAGCTTCATTTCTGTCCTGAAAGCTTGTACCAACAGAGGACTGACATGAGAAAGAAATAACCTGAAAATGAGGGTAATAATTCACATGAATCACAGAATCACAGAAGTGCAGGGGTTGGAAGGAATATTTGTTTATTTACAGGAGACGCCTATCAATTAATTACACCATAAAACTTAATAGACAGGGTTTTTTTACAACATTTCTGAGCGTTCATATTCATTAACAAGATACAAGATATGCAAAAATGAAGAAATCTCTTCAGAAAGGAAATATTAAAATTTCTGTCCCAGATTTAAATAAAATAAAATAAAATTAAAAAAAAAAAAAAAAAAAAAAAGCAAGAAGCAAAGAAATGCAAAACTGGTCATTATGACTCATCACAGACAATTCCAGCAAGCTCCAATGGTCCCAGCAGGGCAGGGCAGGGCAAAGAAGCCACCCTGGTGTGCTTGGAGACAGCCTGGGTAGGGAAAGGCACACAGCACATGGCTACGAGGGGTGAGGGGAGCAGGATAAGGAGTGACCCTACAGCACCCTGTGGAGAGCAGACTACGGAGATCCCACAGTGGAGCAGATTTCCACACTACAGCCATGAAGGAATTCATGGTGGAGCAAGTGCATGTCATCTGAAGGAAGCTGCAGAGGAAAGAGATCCCATGCTGGAGCAGGATCCAGGACTGAACAGCAGCACATGGGGAGGATCCCACACAGAAGCAGGTTGCTGGGAGGAACTGCAGCCTGCACAGGACCTGCACTGGAGCAGGGAAAAAGTGTGAGGAGAAAAGAGGCAGAAAGTAACTCTGAGAGGATGAAAACAGGCCCGATTCCCATTTCTCCTGTGCCACTGAGGGAGATGGGAGTTAGGAATGAAGAAGGTGAGCCTAGGATGAAGTGGATTGGGAAAAAGGTGTTCTAGTTTTGTCTTTGTTTCTCACTATCCAAATCAATTTTTAAGTGAAAATAAGTTAATTTTCCCCATTTTCCTGTTTTACACATGATGAAAGTCCTGGAGAAAATACAAAATGGTGAGGGATTTTCTTGTTTTAATCTCAGCCCACAAGTTCTACAATTGGACTAGATGATCTTATAGGTCCTTTCTATTATTCCTTGATCTTCCGTCTTATTTTCACACAGTATCCTGTTGAGGAGAGGAGTTGGGATAGGGAATGATTAGAGTCTGCCTGCTGTATGATGTCAATCCACCAAAATATCCCATGTTGTATGAAACAATACTAGAACTGGTCTTGCTCATCACCAGACATTTTCTTTCACAAATCTGAGGAGCTGAGTTCAAACTGACTTTGGATTCCTCTGTAGTATTTTGCATGCTTTGACTTTGTATCATCGACACTGTACATCATTAGTAAAAGCTCAACATCACCACCTGTAAATGTTATTACAATTTAAATTTGGAATTGATGCCCAGAGGAGATGGGTCAAAGGAGAAGTAAATGAAGTCATGGTCACTTAGAATTCAGTGTTTCACTAGCACCTTGCACGTGGTGATCGTCAAGATGCATATATACTCATATTTGTTCCACCCTAGCCAAGGACAAAACTTATCATAGGTAGTCTCCAATTGCAGTTGTGACTGCTACAAAGGATCTAATTTGCTAAGCAATTCTAGCTGGTAACAAGGTCCTGGTAGCAATAATTAACAGGCAAGCCCTGGAAGCTGAGCTGATAGTAATTAAGTGAGCTCTCGTTCATCAACTGTAACATCTTAGAGTCTGTTCTGCTGTAAGCTGATGAAAAAAGAATATAACACTTTATGATTTCTCATAGTCATTTGTGAATCTTAAAAATTAGATGGGAGGACTTCAGCACAGTGTTAACACTAGCTTAGCATTAGTCTTGAATCATATTAGCAGCGTTTATGCTGAAAGGGACCTCTGAAAGTCATCTGGTTTAACTTCCTGCTCAAGCAAGGGCTAACTGGAATTTGATTCGTTTGTTCAGGGCTATATCCAGACAAGTTCTGTATATCACCAAGATGGAGGACCTCAGAACCTCTTTCAAAAACCACCTGTGCCAGCACTTGATTGCCTGCAGAGCGATTTTCTTTCCTAATGTCTTACTAGAACTTTCGTCACTTCAATTTATGCCTACTGCTTCTCAGCCTTTCACTATGACCCTCTGAAAAGAGATGGCCCCTTCTCTGAAATTACCACTTAAATGGCTGAAGACAGCAATTAGGCATCCCTACCAACTGATTGGCTCCCAGCCTCTATTGGCACCTAGGATTATTATAGAATTTGCTCTTGTTGAGCTCTGTTGAACCTCATGAGTCTTCTGTCAGCCTATATCTGTTTTTTAATGACAAGGAAGCCTAGTGACTTCACTCCTATTCTCTTATCCCTGATTAAATTATTAGTCTTCCTGCTCCTTCCCCGTCTGAAATATTAGGTGTGTATTTTTTCTCCTGATATAATTTTAAAGTTTATTTTTCCACTTTCATTTCTTTTACAGATTGATAGGACTCTTGAAAATTAGATTTGGTTATTTGCTACGTAACTAAACTGATGAAATTGTGTGATCCATTCAGGAAAAGAGGGGGCAGTGTTACTACAAAATCAGAGAGACTTTTTCTACCGTATTGCAAGTTGTGAATAGTTGCAAGCCATGAGCTGCCTGCAGCACAGAAATTAATCACTAAAGCAATTAATACAAAAATAATAAACTACAATATTCAATTATATTGGCAAAAATGTGCAAATAGAAAACTAATGAAATAAGTCACATGCCATTTTCTAAGCTCTTGTTTTGCCATGCCGTTTGTGAACTCTATGGTAATCAATTATAGTATGGTTTAAAAAAAAAAGTTAAAAAGTTATAAAGGCAAATATTCTATGAGCAGTGTTCAAAATTAGAGAAAGATATTTACGTATTGGTAAAAAAAAACTATAATCAATAATTTTTCAGAAGTACTAGTATCAACATGCTAGTGATGTTTCAACTTAGGCCATTTTCAAAGAAATAGACCTTCACTGGGGAAGGAGCCTAACAGATTCACAATTTAGTTGGTTTATATTGCATCTACATCTGCAGCTCCACAGGATTTATGGCCTTACTGGGCTCCGTTTATTTTCTTATTTAATCATTCTTCAGCACAGACTGAAAAGTCTGCTGACATAGAAAGGAGGGAATGTTGTGTTCTGATAATACCTCTAATATCCACAAATGTACTTAATGCCTGACATTCTATTAATTGCTAGCAATCTGCACAAAACTATTTTGGTTACCTACGCAGACTTGCCCTCCGCTATCTAAATGAAATGGAAATTGGCTTTCTTAAGGCAGCTGTTTTCAGATGTCAAGATGATTTGTACCTTTTGCTGTGTAGAATTCCACATACGAACGCAGGACTGAATCTATAGACCTGCAGTGAAAGTGTAGAAACAGACTATGGGCTTGTTTTTACATCATAAACAAAATTATAAAAGGGAGTTCTAGGAAAGCACAACTTCCAGCAAAGTTGTATTTCAAAATAAAATCCTTACATATTGCTTACCTTTAACTCTTCCAACTGTTTGTATTGATGAGGAGAAAGATATATGGTGGTGGTCTGTCATGTGCAAAACTTTGTATGAAATGAAAAATATAGATTTAATTTACTAGTTAACAGTATTTTTAGCAGTTGAAAATGTAAGATTTGTTCTGCAATCAATTATTTAAAACTAAAAGTGGCGTAAATATCTTCTAAAACTTATTTGGCTCAGAAAGACTTATCTTTGCAGAAGAATTGTGACTTGTCAGAGGATCACACATTGTTTATATACACACTATTTTCGTCCACTTCCAGGAAAACTGAGACTGGAGAACTTGTTTAATACTCAGTTGTCTGGGATGCTATTTCTTATCTAGAGAGGTCCTTAGACAAGTTTATGAGATTTTAAAATCTCATACAGTATTAAAGACATCATCTTAAAAAAAATTGGACTATGGATGGTAAAATTACTATGCTGCAGGACATAAAAATATTCAACAAATGATTCTGTGATCAGAAACAGTAGCAGTTTAGGAAAGACATGTTTTAGTCAAGTGAAAGGTATGAGAGAACAATGTCTCTATTTTCACACTGAAACTGTTAGTTTGAACTATTAATAAATAAATAAATAAGCAATCTGATTTCAGAGTCATGGAACAAGTACAACTGCTCATAGGCCTAGGTAATGTAGAACTTCTTTAGGTTAAGATATATCCAAGGCATGAATATAGGGAAGGTAGGTGGACACTGCTCTCCCTTCAATCCTTAAGCACTGCCCAAAATGGGGCTCTGAGTATACAGTGAAATAATAGTTGTTGAAAGCTTGGTTGAGTTTTTCTAGTTTTCCTCACATTGGAGGATTTATTGGCAGTATGAAGATCTTATGGAGTTATCTTAGAACAGTATTTGCTCTGAGACAGTACCTGAGAACTTTCATATACACAGCTGATAAGAAATAGAATTTTGCAAGGATGATCAATGAACAGATGAGGTACACATGGGCTGCTCCAAAAGTGATGCCTCCAATTTTTTTCCCACTGGAAACTGTAAAAGATGCAATAAACACAATAACACTACTCGGTAGGGTAGAGCAAATTCTCATCTAGAAAAAATATTTTTCAACGTAGACATCACCATTAGTCATGCACTTTCTGTACTTGTAAATTCTTCACTTGTGAAGGTGACCTACTGCTTCACAGCTGCTATGATGCTGCTGCTGCTAGGAAAATATTGCCCACACAGTCCACTTATCATCATCTTGAGCAGGTGGAAGTCAAAAGACACGAAATCCTGAATATACAATGGGTGTGGTAAGATTGTCCAGCCGAGACTGGCAATGTATTCCACAGTCTTTAAGTTTCTGTAGGGCCTGGTGTTTTCATGTTGCAAAAGAAAGGTTGTCTTCTTCTCTTGGCTGACTTTGGGAGTTTGAGCCGTTAGCTTAGAGAGTGTCATGATGTAACAGTTGATGGTTTGCCTGGGCCCCATGAAATTCAGAAGGATTAGCCTTTTCCTAACTTAGAAGACAGTGCACACCACTACTTATTTAGGACTGCGTCTTCAACTTTTTATTTGATGAAGAAATTCATGTCATGAGTCCATGATCCTATGTTTTG